GTTGCGTTTTATAAAATAAAGGAAATTTAGGAAAATAAAAACAAGAAAAGAAAGCTTAATTAATTCTCTTATTTAGCATCTTATTTGCATTAAAATTACTAATTAAGAAGAATATACAATTAAGGAGTATTTAAAAGGCATCACTATTATTCTATATAAATGCATACCTAGGTTTTAAATTTTTTGCGTTTTGGTCTTAGATGTCTATTAAACGCGTTCAAACCCACCCCTAACAAGCCTATTCTGCACTGCCACCCTAGCCACTCTAATTAGTAAGGAAGCTCAGGCCCTAAAAACTGGAGCGTTTAATGGAGATCTAAGCTGTCTGAGATAAGGCCCAGCAGCCCAGCCGGCCCCATCCCGCAGCAACTCCCCACCCTGTACGCTCATTCTACGCTGTTGTCACTGCGCTTCCCTTGTACGTATTAGATTGCTTGCCACGTCTCCCTGCTCGTCAAAAGCCCCCGGTCCAGTGGCCCTGGCTGATGACGGCAAGGAGAGGAAGGAAAGAGAAGGGTACCGCATTATGTGACATACGGTGGCAGCCCTGGTCGGCAGTACCTTAGATTTTTGGCTTTCTGGCCGGAGTATCGGGTTCGCGGATCTCAGCGGCAGCGCCGATCCTGGAACCCGGCTCGTGTCATGCTGAGTCGCCCAATCGGCAGGGTCTGTTCGGGGAGGGCAGAGTGATGAAGGAGAAGAGAGGATTTGACCCAGTGCACAGGCACATCAGAGAGACCAAGTGACAATCGCCGCCGGGCTGGGGAGCAGGAGCAGGAGCTTCTCGTCGTGGTCTCTTTTGGGTTTTCCCTTTATGGTTGCCGATCAATCCAGAAGGTGCGGGCATCAGATCAGAGATGCCAACCCTTTCCGATCTCCATAGCGTGTGTGCAAGGGGCCGGGGCAGGGACGCCCGCGGCTTGTTTCTATGCTCCCCCTACACCCCCACCCGCCCTTCCGGCTCTTCCTTTTCTGTCGCCATACAGCAATGTCCGTAAATGAAGACGGCTCCACAAGCTGCATGTCCATGTCGTACCACTCGTGGCAGAGAGTCGGATAGAGGGAAGAGAATCGAGATGAGCAGAGCGTTGCCGTAGGGTTTTGAGTTCCTGGCAGGCCTCGCTTGTTCTCAACGCTACTCTCTTGCTCTCTACACAGTGTATATATATATATACAGCGAGAACCCACCATCTCTCAGCACAATCCAGTGCAAGGGGAAACCCAAAACGCTCCTGTTCATAGGGATACACTTTATAGGCGAGTGGGGGGAAAGAAGCCACCGCTCATTCCATAGATTGTCCAGGCCCTCATTAAGTCCAGAGCATGTGGGCTAGGCCGCAACCAGCCCGTGCCAGGTGGTGGCCGGAAGCCCGCCTCAGCCTCGGAGGGCGTTTCACCGGCTGGGGAGCCGATGGATCGACCACCACTCAGCGAGGAACAAAGGCCAAGGAAGGCACAGGGAGGAAAATGCCTCCTCCTCCTCCCTCCCTCCCCGGAAGAGGCGGGGTGGGGGAGAGGGGGAAAAAAGCGTACCTTACCTCACTCCTAAAGTTTATGGACCCCAATCTGGAGGCTGAGGCTCCGTCCGTTGGCGTTTGGTTGAAAAAACAGGTGTGCGCCCCGGAAATCGGCTTCGTCGCACTTTTGCCTGTTCGGAGGGGGGCGGGCAGTCTGGCGCCTCGCGGCTTCGCTGCCCGAGTGGACTGGGCGTTGTCACGCCGACCTCTTCCTCCTACATCCTGCGAGAGTGGAGTCGGTCGACTGGAGACGAGGTTTACACAGAGAGATGTACAGATGCAGAGACAGAGATGATTCACATATCAAGACAGATACGCGTAGGAAGCCCAGAGAGGTAAAATTGCCTCTTTCGGTCGCCGGCTCGTATAAAATACCAAGTGCCCGCCGTTGTCGTTGTCGCCCGCACAATGGGGCATGTCATCAGGCCCCATCCCCTGCTGACATGAAGTTGCTTACCCGGGCGAAGGACCGCAACAACTACCTGCTGCTGGCTGTGTCACACACCCCTCCACATCCGTGTGTGCACGCACAGGCGTGGGCAACCGGGTTCGCGCCCGCCCGCCCATTGTGACTGTGGCTATCCCCCAGTCGCCCCCCGGCTGCTGACATGGTCGAGCGGTGGTACCGTACGTCCATGATCATCACCATCATCCTGTACGCTGATGCGCACACAAAGCTAGTTGTGGCAGCATGAGCGAGGGAATGGGGCGTGGGCATGGCATGACCTGACCTGACCTGAGCCCTTTCTTCCGGGCCTCGGGGTGCGGTTGCGCTGTTTGCGCGGTGGAGGCACTCGGCGGCAGGGTGATGTCAAGACCCGAAGTCAAAACGGGGTGCTCGGCCGCGGTAGGGCCCGAGTCGTATCGACGCACGTTAGATACAACAGACATACTGTACGATGTGCTTGGCCCTGAGGGCGGGAGAGAGAGACTCGGGCGCCCAGTCAGTTGGCCGCATGCATGAAATCAAGCTGCGGGCGAACAGACGAACTTCAGAGCTCTGGACAGCCTGTAGACCATGATGTTGTTGGGCTCGTGAGGAGATGCGTGTGACGAGAGGGATGATCCCTTTGTGCTTGTTCCCGCTGTGCTGGGTGTGACATTTCTTGGGTGGCGGATAGACGTGCCAGGATGGGCTATCTTGGGCCTTCCCGCTGCTGCTGCTGCTGGTGGAGGACGCGCTAGCAACTAGAGCACCAGCACTGTGTAGATACCGAGCGGTGCGTCTAAAAAGTGGTTTGTACGCAGAGAGCATGTGCATGTGTGTCTGACTACTGACTAAAGGGCGTCCGGTGGTTCCAGGACCCTTGGCCAGCCGAGGACCCCGGCGGGTTGCTGAGTGAGAGACGAAAGGGTGTCGCCATACCCGATGGAGGGGCAGCAGGTCTGGGCAAGACATGCGAGAGATGGATCTGAACCAACTCCCAATAGGGATGGGTATGAGAAGGGTCCTTCCTGTCCCGCACTCGGGTAGACAGACAGACCAAGGACTCTGTGCTGTGTCTGGATGGATTAAACAACCCCTTTTCATGCCATCTGTCTCCTCTCTCGTATTCCCCTCTGTCCTCATCTGCATCGTTCTCTCAAGCTCGACGCATTCACTCACCTCCTTTTCCCCCTGCACGACGGAGAGTTTTCTGGTGATTCGGGATGGGCCCATGGCGGTGTCGGGCGAGAATGAGGTGTGGGGTGGCAGGACAAGGGCAGGACAGGCACGACAGGCACAACAAGAAGTTTTGAATGGGGAAAGCCACTTCGGTTGGCACATCCGCTGACACCGGCCGACGGGGGGTGGGGAGGAGAGTACGGGATACATGCTACTGTGAACCATTTACCTTAGACCCCAGCACATACTGCACACAAGTAGGACAAGGGAAGAGAGTGGCTCGGCAGCTGCTGGGATTTGACATGGACATTGGCATTTCGCGGTCGACGGCTGGCAGGGCAGGGCAGGCAATTAAAACACCAAGCCAGGCCACTGTGCAGACTCCTCACCCTGGCCAATGCCCTTTGAAACGTGCTTCTTTTTTTTGTCGTTTTGTTCTTGGGCCTGCTCTGTTGGAGATTGCGAGACGAGAAGCAACGGTGAACATAGAGTAGAAGCAGACACGAAGGGGGGAAGAAGCTCGGAAGACGGTGGAATCGATCAATGACTGACTGACTGATGGCATTGTTCCTTCTCCAGACGCACCTGCATCTGCACCTGCCTTTGACAGTTCACGTACTGTTTGTTCTCACACGGCGTGCACTGAGAAGCCGGCCAAGTACCCTTGTACCCTTGTATCCCAGCATCCATGAACAGCCGTGGACATGGACCTTGACCGTGGGATTGATCTCGACCGAAGTAACAAGGCGCGCCGTTTTAGATCCCCCTTCAGACGCCCAGACAGCCAGTCAAGCGAGGCCCGCACGTGCGGTCGGTCGGTCTCTGGCTGGCCTGGCTGGTGGAGGAGCAGACCTCACGAGAAGTTGTTGCCAGCCAGCACAGTAGTCAATGGAACTTCCATTGGTGCTCCGTCTTGTTCCTGTGTTCGGCCCTGCCATTAGTCAAGAGAGGAGAGGAAGAGAGCAAGCAAGCGAGCCCAGGTGAACCAGACAGACCTGATGACATCCGCCCATGGATGCAGCTAAACCATCGTGCCCATCCGCCGACCCCAGATCCCTGCCGTCTGCCGGTCCTGTCAGGTACTCTACAAGTACCGCGTCGTCCAGGCACCCAGGGCAACAGACCAGCCCTGGAGCCCATGGGCCCGTCACAGGGCGCTGGGGACGGGTTTCCGTCAGGGCACCCAGCACTCAACACACAGCCAGCGCCAGGACCGTGACCTCGAAGCAACCTTGGGCGGTCCACTCCGGCTCGCCCACCCTCGCACACCCACACTGCCCTTCTGGGCCGCCGCGCTGCCCAGGTGGGCTTCGTTGAACTCTCCCATTGCCTACCTGGACTACTGGACTAGGAACCCTGCCAACCCACCCTACCTACCTTCTTTCTTCCGCCTCTCCTTCGATCCCCATGTACCTCGTACCACGACCGCCTCTCTAAGGAATCCCTCCTCACCCTCTCTTTCACCTGCCGACCTCTCCTCCTCCTCACTCACTTGCTCACTCGCTCGTTCACTCACTTCCTCGAACCCCTCAACTTCCTCCTGCTGTTCTCTCACGGCGACAACCCCCGACCCGCCATGTAACGAGCGCCCTGCAACAACCCAGACTCTCCCGGTACCTACGATCGCTGCCCGTCACCCACGACCACCCACCCGCTCTGCAAGGCCGACCGTCCGCCCAGCTTGCCCGCCCTACCCACGAACAAACCCCTTTCCTCTCCGAACCCAGACACGAACATACCACTCGGCAAATACGGAGGTTAAGGCACGAACGCTACCCCAAGAACCCTCTCAGCCCGGTTCCTGACAGCTTCGGCTGCTGGTAATTGTGGTGCAGAGTCTCGGCCTCGAGGTGGAACCTACATCATCCACCACAGCCATGGTTCTAAGCATACCCGACACCGGCCTCCACCTGGAGAGCTCGGCCAAGTCTGCAGACACCCTCCCTCTGCAGGCCTTTGCTCTCACCCTCAGCGACAATGTGATTGAGGACTTGATTCAGCAGGTGCAGAATGGAGGCGACGTCAAATTGTCCCTGGGAAATGTTCCCGTAAGTGCTTGTGCAGCCTGCCGTGACGTTGAGGCCCGCGAACTGGGATGGGAGGCATTCCTATTGTTCGACAGCGAGAACAATAGCCTCACAACATGGCCCTCTGCGGAAACAATGTGGATTCAAATTGGGCGAAGCCGTACCACCCATCCACCTGGTTCCTGTCAATATTCAACCTGGGACAACCAGCCCGCTAACCTCTTCCCTCACATGCAGTCCCTTCTCTGCGGCAGGGAAGCAGTCCACAAGATCCCCAGGGCTGCCGAGATACCCAACCTCGACCTCTACATGACCGATCTCTCAGACTCGACACAAGAGGCAGAGAGGCTGCCACACCCCACAATGTCTCTCTTCATGAGACCTGAGCTCAGGAAGTACCCCAAGCTTGCGGCGGGCCGTGTGGTCGTCAAGGAGAAAGCAGCCCCAGCGAATGCCCCGGCTACGGCTCGCAGCCCACAGACCGATCTCCCCGACGATATCGCACAACTCAAGAAGTCCATGGCACAGGCCAAGAATGACAAGCTGGAGAATGGGTGTGTAGTGCTGAGCAGACTGTGGAAGTGGTCTGAGCTAACTTGCACTCCTGTAGTACCAAGATCGTCAATACTCCCATATCGGGCGTGAAGCGAGGCACAAAGACCGGCAAGGCGAAGCTGCTACCTTCAGCCAAGGGGAGCACCTTCACAACCACCATCAGCAGGTCTGGTGCCGCCAGTCCTGCCCTCAGCGGGACTGGCTCTCCGTCTCTGGGAGCCACCCTATCAGCCGACGAGCTGGCCAAAGAGAGGGCAAAGGAGCTCCGGTCACCCATCGTGCACGAGCTGGCTGTCAGGGAGATGACCTTCGAGGAGCTCCAGTCCAGGTGGCCGAATGACGATCAGGACTTCAAGCCTGCCCTGGATAAGGCGGCCGATTTCGACAGCAGCCGGCAGAAGTATGCCTTGAAAAAAATGTACTGGAAGGAACTCGACGTGTTCAGATATGGCTACGACTCGGACGAGGAGCGACAAAAGGCCATCGACAATGCCATCAGGATGTACGATCGCATGCGCGTGGGTACTACGGAGCCCGTATGGCAGAAGTTGCTGCCAAAGGAGGAGCGCGGAAAAGGAAAGTGCCTCAGCAAGCTGCAGGCGACAATTGCCAAGAGCGCGGCTACTGCTCAGGCCAAGACACCGCAAATCAAGGTCCACGATGCAGAAGATTCGAGTGGCAGCAGGAATGGAGACGGCAACATGTCCGGCATCGACAGAAAGACAAAGAAGGCGGGCTCCCCATTACCACGATCTTCCTCACAGACGAGGCAACCAGCCAAGAAGACAGAAAGCAAACTGCTATCACAAAAGAAGGCACCTACACCAAAGGTTTCGCCTACGAAAGCTGGCGCGAAGACGGCAAAGGCCAAGGGCGGCCGCATTCTGTCCAAGGAAATCATTTCGGACTCCGATTCTTCCTCGGAAGATGCGCCCATGTCGAAAACCCTGGCTAAGTCGAAGGCAATGGAATTGGAGCGAGAGAGGGCAAAGGAGAGAGAGCGAGAGCGAGAGCGAGAGCGAGAACGAGAACGGGCTGAAAGGGAGAGGGAGCGTGAGAGGGAGCGTGAGAGAGCCGAACGAGAAAAAGAGCGCGAGAGGGAGCGCGAAAGAGCGGAGCGAGAAAAGGAACGTGAGAGGGAGCGCGAGAAGGAGAAGGCCAGGCAGGCGGAGAAAGCCAGGCTAAAGGAGGCCACCGCTGCCAAGCCCAAGCCCAAGCCGGCCGCGCCTAAAGAGATCATCAGGTCCCAGGTCGTTGCTCGGCCGGCCATCCAAAAGCGATCTCGAGAGGAGCCCGACGATGACAGCAGCTCTAGCTCAGGAACACCGCTGAGCAAGCGTGTGAACAGGGAAGTCAAGGCATCCGCTGCGCCCCAGTCTAAGCTAGCAAACAAGCGACCTCCCTCGGACTCGAGCTCGCAGAGCTCATCCCGCAGCAACGGCAATACTGGGAACAGTCTCCCCAGCAAATACAAGAACACCAGCCCGATCAAGTCGTCACCGCTTGCTTCCTCGCCACCAACCAACGCCTCAGACTTCGACCAACACACCTCTACCGACGAGAGCCGGCATGGTCGCCAGCGCAACCGGTCCCCAGACCGCAGCGTGACAGTGGCGAACGGAAACATCAATGTGAAGAAACGCAAGGCCCAAGCCGAACGTGACACCATCGACGTCGCCATGGCGGACAAGAAGCGCCAGCGGGTGTCGACCGAGATACTGGACAAGGCGCGCACGTTCAAGATGCATTACGTGGTGTACCAGCAACTGCACCGCGAGCTGTCCGGGGCCAACAGTTTGGACAAGAAGAAGTACGAGAGGCTGATGGCGATGCACGAGAGATTGGAGCACCTGAAGAGCTCAATCTACTCCCAGGTGCCGCAAGACGTCTAACCGACGGGACGACGAACATTCAGGAAATGACAGACGAGCTTCATTTAGTTGGCATGCATGGGAGTCACATGAGGACGAGACACTCACGGTATGCATTGGAAGAGCATCAACACCTTTTTGAAAAAAGCGGATTTCAGGACGCGATTTCCTTGGTTCCTTCTTATTTCCTCCCGCGAAGTGTACAGCACCAGGGACTTCACACATAGTCGCCCCCATCACACATCTCGAGCATTTACACAACGGTTCAACCGGTTTGCATTGTTGGAAAGGGAGGGGAACCCGGTCCAAGGGAGGTGTTTCACGGTCAACTTGCACACAGCATTTTCCTGCTTGTCCCCTTTTTGAAAATTTTCCTGTGGATAGGAATATCATGATACCAAGAATTGAATTGAGAGAAATTCTCATGAATCGCTTGACTGCTGAGATCAACATGCATCGTACTGAAGAGTGAACCAAGGGATCTGTGCAAGCCTCTGCTCTCATATGCAGCCGACCGGAAGAACATGATCTGCTTCTACAGCCACTGTCCTCCCTTGGCCCTATCCCGCGTTAGAGCTTTCAGCGAGAAGAGAACCCGCTATACTTACCCAACTTCCCGAGGGCACACTTATCTATGTCCTTGTTGATTTCCTTCGCGCAAATCACGAGACATGGTCTCCTGGATACACTCTGTATACGCTTACAACACGGACCTCCTCTGTCCCGAAGTTTAGGCACGCAATGGGTCGGTTGTGCATATATATGAGGATCACGACCACGGTTATGCGCTAACCAGCTGTTCTCTGGGCGTCATACGTCTTGACTCAAGGATTCACATATGCTCGCTGTCCTTGTTTTTGTTTGATGGCGATCCATGGGCCCCCAGATGAGATGAGATGTTAGAGTGGGCTACGTAGGTAAACGCGAGCCGTTCAACCGACGTGCTGCTTGCGGTCTGCCTCCTTCCGCCCCTGGTGGCCGCCCCGCCAGATCTAGATCCCAGCATTCGCCGTCCGGGCCCGAAAGTGAGGATCGTGAGAACCCGCTCACAGCCTCCGAGTCAGCTCTTGTACCTCGGGTTCTAAACTTTCCCCCGTGGGTTTTACCATATGCTCGTGTAGGAGATCCGGCTACAGACGATGAAGACGACTGCGGACACGACGCTGGGCAGCTAGCCGCTTTTCTCTCTCTCTCTGAAGCCTGACAGCCGGGGAAAAGGGGCATGGACTCGTGCGTGTAACGGTAGACTGGGGCCAGAGAAGGAAGGCGCCGGGGGCAGCTTAGGTACACGGGCTCGAGGATACTCGAATGTTGAGAAAACAAGGCTTCCATAACAAGGCAGGCACATCTAGATAATTTCGTGTTGAGTGCCAATCCGCTCATCTTCTTCTGGGCACGAGGTTCAGGTCTGCGCGAACCCTCCGAATCCTCCCTCCCCCGTTTTGCCCCTGCGTTGCTGGAATGCTGATGGCCCTGACGTGATGGGTCGAGACTCTGGCATTCCTGCGCGTCTCCGCCCTCTCAGATCCGAGCCCTTCCTCCAGAAACAGCGATGGTACGTTGTCGGGCTGCGAGTGTCTCTCGCCGTCATCATCGCTCGACCTGACATCTTTCTCTGTCTAGGCTCATGCAGTGAACCCGGGAGATCACCAGTGGAGACCAGGGGTCTGGTTCGGGTTTTGTCTGAGATTTTCTTTCGAAAGAAGAGATTAAAGATGATGTTATTCCAAAGCAAATTAGTGGTCGCTCCCAACCTAGACCGCAAGTAGCAAAGACGTTTTTTTTTTCTTGCTCACATGAACGTACAAAAACGGCCCGTACCCGCATTGGATGATTTCCCACTTCTCCTCAGGTCATGACCCAGGGCCCGCACTCCCTTGTCCCCCGGCCCCGAACGCATACTTGGAACCTAGAGCGCCCCCTGCCTGCTTGCACTAGAAATATCAACGCTATTGTTGCTTTGTGCCGTGCCTTTGAGGTTAATCATGGTGGTGATGGAGGTGATTGTCGCCTATTGTGTCTTGAAGAGAAGAATGGCGCAGTGGCCGAGGTAAAAGTAGATGAAGTGCTTGGTTTCTGCACGGAAGTCAGCCCATGACCGTCTCTCCCGGTCATGATGAGGAAACAGTATCCGTACCATGGGTTACGAAACTTCCAAAGTTCCGCCCGACAATACAATGCCATGTGGGACCCTTGCGCTCGTCAAATGTTCTCTTGATATGCTGGGCAATGTCCTGTGATCCGTTGTGTCAGCGACCAGGATAGGCCGTCTCGGAGGGAGCGTGTCGGTCACGGTTCCGCGGAAGAACGAGGGTTTCCGTAGACCCCAGACTAGCATGCGAGGACAGTTGCGTACCTTCTCGATCGTGAATTTCGCCATTGCCTCTTGAGCTGCTCATGTCGTCAGCATCTGTACGACCCGGCGTGCGCTTGCTCCCCGTCAAGGGTCTCTTACCGATGTCGATGGCCTCCTGCTGCATGTCGTCCGTCTGTTGCCCCATATTTCAGCCCATGACCATAGTTGTAACCCGTCATGTGGTGTCCTTACCATGTCCGCGCTCTTGATCTGAGCGTCGAGCTTCTCCCGAGGGCCCGGGGAAGTAGCGCCTCCTTCGACTGCCATGGCTGTTGTTGTGTAGCTTCGGGTTCTGCGATGAGCACCAAACATTAGCCGTGATGAAGCAGAGCAGAGGGAGGCCCCGACGCCAGGGTGCGGCAGTAGTCATTGCCTTCGGGCTGAGGCAGGGCAGCTAGCTGGCGTCGGCGGATAGTCCGACGTGCGCTCCTCCGCGGATCAACTACCGCAAGCCCTAGCCCTGGCTATTTGTGAACAGTGCTGCTGTCATTCGCGTACCTTGGGAGATCTGGAGAGGTCGTGGGATCGTGGCGGAGGAGGGAGGAGTCGATGAGCGGGTAGCCAGGGCGGTTGGGAGCGTCGTGTTGTTTGATGCCCAGGGAACTCTATTCGCACAAAGAGCCTCAGTAGCCTTTGGGGACGCCTTTGGGCCGCACCAGCTCCCCTGAACGGCGACCGGCGACCCTGCCAGCGATCAAAGGTGGGGCACGGACCCCCCGACCGTCCGACTGGGAGAAACGGAGTGTGGGGAAGACGTGCCGTCTCCAATTTTCGACCCGCCAAAAAGTTTTGCCTGCTTTATTTGCAACTGACCGCGCATCCTCCTGTCTCTGGACTTCAACTCGTCTTCTCTCACTCTCTTCTTCCTACATCATCGTCCTCAACGACACGGTCGTTGCTACAAAGTGTTGCGCGACCACGCCAGCACTACTTCTGAACCGTCGCACTGATCAATATGTCCACTGCAGGCGTGGAGTCGTCGCGGCTGTTCGTCAAGAACCTGCCGCCTGCGATCACAGAGGCCGATTTCCGAAAACATTTTGCTACCGGCGGCCGAGAAGTCACAGATATCAAGCTGATTCCAAAGAGGAGGATAGGCTATGTTGGCTATAAGACCCCAGAGGACGCAGCCAAGGCTGTGAAGTTCTTCAACCGGTCATACATCCGCATGTCCAAGATCTCCGTCGAGATCGCGAGGCCCATATCAGACCCCTCCCTGCCGACTGCCAAAAAGACCGCTCCACGTGCCCAGAACAAGCTGCCTACCCCCGAGCCTGAGCCGAGGGCGAAAGAGGCTGATGCCAATGGGAAGAAAAGAAAGAGGGAGGGTGTGGACGAGTCCGACCCCAAGTTGAAAGAGTACTTGGATATGATGCGTCCGGGAAAAGCTACCTCAAGCAAACTCGAAGGCATCTATGGCCAGCAGCCTAGTGAACAGAAGGATGTGGAGATGGCAGTCGTTCCTGTGGATGCCGAGAGTGACGATGAATACGAGACTATCCCAGCCAAGAAACCAAAGCACCGCGGAGAAGCTGTTGAGGAAGCACCGGCCGCGCAGGTCCATGCCCCCTCGCCCGTGGTCGATCTACCACAAGCGGTTGACCAAGAAATGCCCGACGCGAAAGAACCAGCTGATGCAACAGATGATGATTGGTTGAGATCACGGACAAACAGATTACTTGACCTCGTTGATCCGGATGACCAGTCAGCACTGCCGCCCCGTCCTGCACCACCTTCCCGGGCCCCAGCTGTGACGAGTGAACCTTCGTCTCCGGCAGAGGTAGAGATGGACCATGCCCCTTCGGAGGCTCCAGGCGAGCCTGCCGTTGAAAAAACGGACGAGGAAATCGCAACGGAACAAATCCTTCGCACAGGTAGGCTCTTTGTTCGGAATTTGCCCTTCAGGGCCACCGAGGCCGAACTCGCGAAACACTTCGAGAAGTACGGAGAGACTGAGGAGGTAAGCAAGCTTTTCCCTTGTCTGCGGACATCCCTCTCCAACCACACCCGTCGTTGTGATGAACCCATGATAGGGACATCTTATGCCAAAGGCACATGATTATATTTTGGGTCGATTATTTTAGTAGATGCTTCGACTTTTCTGAACGACAAAAACTCACTTGGTCATATTGTCTCAGCTTGATTTGGATTCAACGCGCTGACGCAGATCTAGGTACACATTCCTGTCTCTGGTTCGGGACAAGGTAAGGGGTTTGCCCACATCTCATTCTCGGATTCTGGCTCTGCCATTGCAGCATTACAGGATGCGGATGGCAAGCCTTTCCAAGGACGTATCCTCCACATTCTCCCCGGTCAACCGAAGAAGGACCAACAGTTGGATGACTTTGCTATCTCGCAACTGCCGCTCAAGAAGCAGAACCTTTTGCGCAAAAAGGCACAAGCATCGACCAGTACTTTCAACTGGAACTCACTGTACATGAATCAAGATGCTGTGCTTGCGTCAACTGCAGATCGTCTTGGAGTCTCCAAATCAGAGCTCCTCGATCCCACCTCGACTGATGGTGCAGTGAGACAAGCGGTAGCCGAGACGCAAATCATCCAAGATACCAAAGCCTACTTCGCTTCTCATGGTCTTAATGTTGAGGCCTTCAAATCCCAAAAGAAAGGAGACACAGCGATTCTGGTGAAGAACTTTCCCTACGGCACAAGTCTGGAAGAACTGCGAAAGCTATTCGAAGAGGCTGCCGGGGGCAACGTGCTCCAGGTTTTGATGCCTCCAAGTAAGACGATTGCAATAGTCCAGTTCTCACAGCCTGTCGCGTGCAGAACGGCGTTTGCGAAATTGGCCTACAGGAGACTGGGTTCATCTATTCTGTTTCTTGAGAAGGCGCCCGCAGATCTGTTTGGAGACCAACAGACACCTGCACAGCAGCCTCAGGCTGATCGCCCTGGTGGGGTGCAGAAAATATCTGGCACGGATCTGCTGGAGCAAGCTGATGACCAGGATAGCCAGGACACGACGTCTCTTTACGTCAAGAACCTAAGCTTCGACACCACCACGGCACAGCTGGCGGATGCGTTCAAATCCCTGGACGGATTCGTTCATGCACAGGTGAAGACAAAGACTGATCCCAAGAAGCCGGGTCAGGTGTTGAGCATGGGTTTCGGCTTTGTGCACTTCCGCTCAAAGGCGCAGGCTGAGGCTGCTGTCAAGGCCATGAATGGATTTGTGCTGGATAACCACACCCTCGCAGTGAAGGCATCGCACAAGGGCCATGACGCGGCCGAGGAAAAGCGACGCGAAGACAAGGCCAAGAAGGCCGCAGGACAGAGGACCAAGATCGTCGTCAAGAACCTCGCATTTGAGGCTTCCAAAGCCGATCTACGCCGCTTGCTCGGGACTTACGGCAAACTCAGAGTCGTCCGCATTCCCAAGAAGTTTAACAGTTCTTCGTTAGTGGCCAACCTCCCTTCCCCCATTGGCGCATTATTTCGCCGCATCTGCTAACGCGAAAACAAACAACAGACGTGGATTTGCCTTTGCGGAATTCGAGTCGCCACGAGAGGCAGAGAACTGCATCAGGTCGCTCAAAGACACTCATCTGCTCGGTCGCAAGCTGGTCCTGGATTACGCCGAGGCTGAGGCCATCGACGCGGAAGAGGAAATCGCCAAGATGCAGAAGAAGATCGGGGGACAAGTCAACAAGGTGGAGCTGCAGAAGCTTACCGCAGGGAAGGGCAGTGCCAGACAAAAGTTCGAGATCGGGGATGACAACGAGGATAACGCATGATGGCCTGAGGCGCGTCTTCGAAAGGCAAAGGGGGCTAGTTAGGGCTGACGGCCTCCCCGGCAAGATCCAAATTAACAACAGCTGGATTCTTCCCATCTTTTGCTCTCACTGTTTTTTTTTTTTTCTTGTCTGCTGGCACAAGGGCGAGGAGACTCCCGAGTACTTTCGTTGGTGTCTTGTCCATCCCTTGGTTGAAGAAGATCTTCACCGCGAACCAGCAGCCGCCAATTTTTGTGTGCCCCACTTCATAACCCAATTTGAGCTTCAGTTTTGCCCCCCTCGCCCCCCTGCTATTGAGTTACCTCCTGCTATCTCTCCTAGTCTCCCCGCGCTCTCCTTTCGCTTTGAAAACGATGTCTGTCGTTAATCTCGTTGTCATACCTCCCGGCGGATGTGCCCCGCCCAGGGGCGCCCATGTGGCCGGATCCATACGTTGCATAACCCACGGGTGCCACAAGGCCCAGACCACATAATCACCCCTGCATTCCTCCCCCGGGACGGTATTTTCCAAAAGTCTTCAATGGGAGACCCACGCCTCCCGGGAGCGAGGGGCGGGGTCGTCGAGATCTTTTGAACCCCGGTGATATCTGTCTAGTTCTGGTTCTGGATCTGGACGAGTGCTCGCTCCGCCCTAAGGCTATGCGTCCTCACACACGGCCATCCAACCAATTGACCTGGCCTGACCTACCCGGGAAGGTGGGAGAGACTCTTTGAGCGAGCGAGCGAGACTAGCTAGGCTTCTTTCTCTCACCCTTCCCCTGCTCTCTGCGGGGCCAGGGGACAAGGGGGGAGGTGGTTCCCTAACGCGTGGGCTACCTAAATATTGTATGATGCGGTTAGCCGTTTGAGGAGGGGGGGGGGTGTACACCACTCTTTCCCCAATGGTATTGTTGTCATTATTATAAGCCCGGACTCATGTTCCCTTTGGGCGGGACAGGGGAAATAATACAACGGGTTCAGAGGAAAGCTCCGGGGCTGGCAGTTGGTCAGTCAGTCCGTCTCTCGGTGTAAGAGAGAGAGCGTGTACGTGTACGTATTCATGTGTTTCTGTCCCTCCCCCCTCTCGAAAGTGTCCATATTATAATACCGTGCTCCTGAGGGCATTCCTCCATCATACTCGCCAGAGGTCTCCCCATTCGCCTCAGTCAAAAGCGTTCATTCCTTCTTCCTTTTCTCTCAGACCTTGTTACAACACATCACGTTCCTTCCAAACACGCCGTGGAGGCATTCCATTATTCATTTTTTGGTCCCCTTCGCTTCTCTTTTTTTGCCTTCCCAAACAAACCCATTCCATTCTTTCCCAAGTCAGCCAGTCAGTCATTCGCATACGAGAGAAGAACAACGGTGAGGAAGTAATAGAGGAAAAGCGAGAAGAAAAAAAACTTTGCCCGTTAAGCATTTGACTTGAATTCCTGCCTCGCCCCTCTGGAATCGACCGGGCCACATCATCGCGTACCCACGATGCTGGGTTCTCTGGACGCCCACCGCGCCGTGCTGCCCTCCCAGAGACCACCCTCGCCACCCTCTCACCCTCACTCCCACCAGCCCATGCCCGATTATGTCCATCACGACACCGTCGGGCCGTCCCCTTACGAGGACGTCAGCAACAGCAACAACACCAGCAGCAGTAACAGCAACACCAGGGGCGACTATCTCGCCCGCGTCGGCGGCAGGGAGCCCCTGCAGGAGTCGACGGGCAACGTCCAGCACCACCAACACCACCACTATCCCTACGGCCAGCGCGCCCTGCCCTCCCTGTCAGCAGCCTCGTCCGCCTCGTGCACCCCGGTCCTGAGCCACACCCTGTCCGCAATCCCCGCGCCCCCGATCCTGCCGACGCAGGCGCTCGGGTCCACGGGCGTGGTGGTGCCGTCGTCGTCCACTGCGTCACAACAACAGCAGGACCAGCACCACCAAGGCAGCGGCAACGGTGTCGTTGGTGGCGGGTCCGCCGCGCTGGCGGCGGCAGCAGCCGCGGCCGCGGCCAGCGGGACGTCCGCGCTCAGGCTCCGGCGGCACCAGCTCAGCCTGCAGCGGCAGAGCCGGCACAGCAAGAACCCCATCTACCTGTCGCACGAGTTCTGCCAGTACCGCGTCAAGCAGAAGGACAAGGACCAGCAGAAGTGGCCGGACATCCTCGAGGATGCCTTTCTTGACGGTATTTCTTTTCCCCATCTTTTTTTTGCCTCGCTTCTCCATTCTCATTCTTCCTTATTCTCTTTGCCCGCCTCACCTTCTCTCGCCTCATGACAAGGACCATATACCTAGTCCAAGCCATGCCCAAGAGATGAAGAAAAAGAAAAAGGAAAAGATAATGACGGTGATGATGACGGAAAAGAAAAAGGCTAACCCCACCCGTTCACACCCACACAGCCCTGCTCCTGATAGTCCACATGGGCCGGCGCAAGTACCACATGCACGGCAAGCAGCACGGGCGCAACATGCTTATCTGCGAGTACATCTGGATCGCGTGGAAGCAGCAGACCCTCCCCCCCGGCGCCCCGGCCCCGCCCCAGTACACCATGCAGGAGGTCAAGCCCTGCCAGTGCAAGCCGCCCAAGAAGCCGCACCGCGACGACGAGCAGTGCTGGGTCAAGGTCAAGCACGACTGGTACCGCGAGCGCAAGCAGGTCTCGAGCCACATCCAGGTCATCAAGAACTTCTTCCGGTTCCACCCGGCGTGTGAGTGCCTCCTCCATTTCTTCCGTTATATTGTCACCTTGTGATATGTCACTTGTTCGTTTTCCTACCACGGGCTTGGGAGGTGATTGCTCGCATACCACCTGGAGTGCCCACTCGGGGATATCAAGCCCATAGATCTTCTTGGCACTGGGCAAAAGTGCTGTGCCTAGCCGTGGTCACCAGCCTAGCCTCGTGTAACCATCTTCATTTGTGTTGTTCCCAATCCGGAATCTCCATTTGACACACACATACACACGAGCCCAACTGACAGCGTGCCCCTCGCCCCCAATGTACAGACCACTTCTTCTTCTCCAAGGGCTCCGAGGAGAGCGGCAAGGACAAGAAAAAGTCCAGCCCGGGGCGGTGGTACAAGGAGAACACGGACCAGAAGTCGTTCAAGGACGACCCGGTGCTCAACGCGCTCAAGGAGGACCGGCTTCCCGACGTGCGGCCCAACTACGAGTACTTCGGGCAGCTGCTCAACATGAACCACCACGTGCAGGTCAGCCCGTCCATGTGCTGGCTGTACCTGTCCAACGACCTGATCCGGGACCAGTCGTCGACCGAGACGCGCTTCTACACGGACGAGGACGGCGTCAAGCGCGAGGAGGAGGTCATCAAGGTCAAGACGTACCACCCGGAGCAAGGCTTGCTGCCGCACTGGGACTTCCCGCACCGGTACGAGTTCACGAGCGGGCGCAAGGAGTGGGCCGCCCGCGACAAGGAGGACCGCAGCATCCGCCAGACGTTCCTGCACGAGTACAACTGGGACATGAAGCAGACCGAGTCGAGCTCCGTGCGCGAGGTGTGCGACGAGTGGGAGGTCGACCACCCGGAGCTGCACGCCAGCCTGCAGAGCGTCATCGAGCACCACGACCTGCAGAACGCCCACCTGCACTCGGCCAGCCAGTGCGACATCATCCACATGGACCTGACCCTCGACATCCACGGCATCACCAAGCTGACCAAGCTGCCCAAGGGGAGTGCCTTCCGGCCCCTCGTCAAGATCACCGTCGCCCAGCAGGGCCTGCAGAACCACCACTGGTGCGTGCGCACGCGGCTGGAGCGGCCCTCGGAGCTTTGCTCCAACGGCAGGGGGACGACCTTCAAGGACGACCTGGAGATGGGGTACGTCTTCACACACGTGCGAGGTTGCCATGATAGGAACCCCACCTGTGATTGCAGGGAGCGCCGGAGGGGTAATGTGTGGTCAGTTCCGTTCCCCGAGGTCCAGTGGGCCGAGGCATTAGACCTGTGCGCGACCTATCCACGGTATTTCCTGCCGAAAGAGAAGAAGGCCTCGAGCGGAGGGGCGAAGAAGGACGAGGATGATACCAAGGAGGAGGATGTCGTCACGCAGATGGACCTGATGAAGGCCACCGCCATGTTCCAGGAACTGTGGTCCAGCCCGCCTGCGCCGCCTGGTGCGCCAGACCAGCTGAACTGGACGCGGCGTGCCGTGATCCTCTGGACCTTCAACACGATACACTTCTTTGACAAGGAGAAGAAGCTGTGCACGACGCCTGCCGGCACGAACTGGCGATTTTTGACTGCCGTGGACCCCCTTTCGCCGATGCATCAGGAGAGGATGCTCCTAAGTGGCAGCGCCGCTCAGAGAGGTGATCGGGTAGTCATGTCGCCGCCGCCCACGTACCAGCAGATGCTTAACGCACAGATGGCTGAGAACTTCAGCTCGGCCTGGACTGGTGGCAATGTTCACTTGAACATCCCGCAGGGCGGGACCCAGTCCAACCCTTCATCGATGCCCGTTTCTCCTATGCCCTCATACGGGCCTTCAAACCTGAGTCTCCATGGGAATTTCACCAATGGCCTCGTCACCCCTCCGCCATCCGCAGCACTCACATCGTCATATGTAGCTGGTTTTGACGGCTCCTCGGGCATCGGCGTGCACTCCCAGGACCTAGGAGGCCAGGCCTTGGGGTACATGCCAACCACGACCTCGACCAATACCGAGGCGAGCTTCATGACAAGCGGGTCCTTCTCAACGGAGCCCTACATCCCTTACAACACAGGCAACAGCAGCTTCTACGAGGAGCCAGAGGACGACGAGAGCGACACCACTCTCCCCGGGTGCGAAACCACCGACCTGTCCGGCCTGGCTCCACAGCAATGGTCCAACATGAATAACACTGCTCACGCTGGCAACAATGCGCTGACTCTTGACTGGAACCACCCGGACCTCACCAGCGGGCTGTCGATGACAGTCAACGACGAGACGGGCCTGGGCGGTGAAGCGGGGACAAATCCTCTCGATGATAGCGCGCGGCAAATGCAGCACCCGTACGATGCCTGCGCGCAAGTGGTGCGTTCCGAGGCGGGGAGGCAGAGCAGAGCGCAGTCCAGCGACCAATACCTGGCCGGGCTGCAGCGGATGCAGGGCAACCTCGACAGCAGGGACCGGCTTGAGCAGCACAGGCCTAATGTCCCCGCTCACGACGACGACATCTGGAACACGGCCGCGTCGACGCCCAACAACTGCGACGGGGGTCCGATCGGCGGGGTTCAAGACGCCTCGGCGCAGTTCAGCCAGTCGACGACCGGATGGGACGACAGCTTCGGCCAGTTCCACTCTCAACAGTCTCAGCAGCCGCAACAGCATCGCCATCATAATGACGGGCTATCCCGGCCGGCCCCGGAGTATCTGGGCGGGTCCAGCACCAGCGGCCTCAGCCCGCTGGTCAGCCGCAAACGCTCCAGGGAGGAGGCAGAAGGCGATGATGCGTACTCGCTGGGTTCGATGGCAGGCTACGTACCCTCAGGGCACAAGAACCTCCGTTACCGCCTTGCTTAACGCGTCGATGGCCGCTATGGGTGACCGAAGCGGGGTCATGAGGATCAACTTGGGCCAACATGCTAGAATGGGAGTCAGTTGGTCGACTGGCTCACCGGCCAAGTTCGGGTGCTTGGGCCGGGTCGTCAAAGGTCGGCTGCTATTCCCTGGCTAGAGGTGTGGGTAATGTGATAGACGTGATAGACAGGGTCCAGTTGACAGGCTTGGGGATGTTCGGGACGTTTACCGGGTATCGGATGAAACCAGGGGTTTTGGCGTTTCACGATACCCACATGCGAGTGTGTGGCACACTTGCTGTTCTGTTGAGGCGGGCGTGGCAGCGTGGTTGGTCATGGTACAACTGTGGCGAGTGATTAGTCGCAATGTGCATGGAGTCTGACAATGTCTACAGTCTTTCTGTCACAAACTACGAGGGCCTGGAGGACAAACTCGGGGCTCTATGCAGGCAATTGTCTGTTCATTCAGCACAGACAGTGGAAGTTTCCCGGTCGTCATCGGAGCTGAGCCGTGAAACTCGAGAGCACAGAGCACAATTGACTTTGTTGTTTGCTTCTGCACTTTTGAGTTCCGGACACCAGGGCGAATGCAGTAATTGAACACTGATTTGTTGCAATATCAGACGGTGATCAGCGTTGCTTGGGTGCAATGGTAAACTTACAGCGGGCTGCGATAGTTGGGTGAGGTCGTGCATGTTTCGTCCCTTGTCAGTGAGAGAAACGAGGCCAAGGCGGATTTACTGGGGACAGCAATGAGAAGCGCTCAGTTCGAGTTGAGCGCGTATTATGGGTCCATATTTCGCAAACTGTAGCGGAGGGCATCGTTGACAGGAATAAAGTGGTGTCGTCTTTAGGCCCTGCCGGGGAACCTGTGGAGCCACAGAACTGGGGACCCCTGTTGCTAGCGGCGCCTTGGGGTGTTGAGGCTCAAAGAGATCGACAGCCTATCGGCTGCGTGCTAACGGGCGCTTGGCAGGGAGGTGTTTCAGTGCGGTCAGACCAGACCCGTCCCCCATGCATGTGTGCAGCAACTAGCGCTCCTGGACAAAGAGCCACAGAGAGGGCGAGTGACTGGAGGGGAAAATTCTACCGTGAGACGGACTGGGCCATTCACGGGAGTCGATATGCCGGCAGATACTCGGGGTTTAGGCCTGGGAAACGCCACCTTTGGAGTGCCACACAGATATCGCTTGCATTGGGAACAGCTCATTACCGAGGCGATGGAACGTCTGGACAACAGAAGAGTCTGTCAGTCCGGATGACGGCTAATGCAAATGCCGCGAACCGTCTGAGGAGACCTGACAGGATGATTGCTTGTCAGAACATGAGTTGACTCAAGTAGGCCAAGAGGAAGCTCATGCGAGAATCCAGCTGGTCGCTGTGGGTGTGACTGATCCTCGGGGGTTGGTTCACGAGGTCTGGCTGGTGTGTGAATGGCGTAGAAAAGACGAAACTCGGGAGGTTCTCGACTGTCTGGTCGGTCGAGCTAAGGGGAGAGCCCGAGCCGGCCGGCTTGCCCTAGGCGTCTGGTCTTGGCCCAGGCCTGTGCGTGTAGGCTAGGTAGGGCAGGTTGCAGCAGTGGCCGCGAACATGGACAGGACCAGGTCAGGAGCGGGAGCGGGGATGATGGGTGATGGATGATGGGTGACAGACGGTGACGCGCCGAGACGAGGTCCCGAGATTTGGGGGTCGGTGAGAGGCGTGTACAACCCGGCAGACGAGGATGTCGGGACAGATACCCAAGACACGAGGTCGGAGGTCAAGAAATAGGGTCAGCATCGTGTTAATGATGGTTCCATTGGCGTGGGCAGGGCTGCGGCGACAACGCGGCCAGTCGTGCGAGGGCGGTCTGGGCCGTAGACGTGGCCGGTGGAGTCGGCCATGGCGCGGGTGTTGAGGCGAGATGATTGGCTGCGAGCTGCTTTTGTGGTGTTTGGGCAGTCGACGTGCGTGCACCCGTAGCCGCCGCGGGCGGCTCCACACAATGGTGTACCGTGTATATACGACACAGACAGTGTGCGATCAAGCGCGGAGGGTGTTGGCAGGCAAACAAGAACAATGTGTGCCTGACCGTGTTTGAATAGCAGCCGTGTCATATGGGTCTGAGTCGGTCGAGTCGGTCGAGTCGGTGAGGGGATCGAGGAGTTGATGGTGATGCTGACTGATCGAGAGAGAGCGACTGGTTGCAGTGGTTGGTTGGGTGTGAAGGCGAGGCAGTCGGTCAGACAAGCCGTGCAGAGATGCAGAACGAGTGGCCCAACGGCTCGGGCGCATGGGCCACCCAGGTCCACCCTTAAGGGTAAGCGAGCGCAGGGGTCTGCTATCCCTGCCCGCGGGGCAAGTGTGTGTGTGCAGGTGTTCCAGACTGACAAATCGTTTTAGCCGCGGGGAAGTCACCTCCGTCTCAGATATTGGCGGGAAGGTACATCTCCAAGGTGTTGGATGTGCTAGAACGGCATGTACAGTGGCTCACCAGAAACGGCAAGCGTTCAACAGGCAAGCCCAGCTCCACTCCTTGGACATTGGACCTCACCTCCTCTCATGCCTTGCTCTAGGCAACAAGTTTATCGACACGATAGACTGACCCGACACACAGAGGACTACATACTTGCTCAACCTACCTAGGTAGCCTCCTTGATCTCACTGTTACAGCAGCCCGTGCCCTGCAACCCTGCGATGCGGCCCCATAGTTCTTATCCTGGTCGCATATCATGATCGCGCAATGGGATTTGCAACCAGCATGCGGCAATGTCCCAACTGCCACAGTAGCTCCCACATGCGACAGGACAATGCTTGCCTGCCCTCCCTTGTTCTCAACCCCGGCAGGGCGCCCGATATGTCTCGTACCTGGCGCTACCTGGGGTTTGGCTGGTTTGGCCGGTTCCTCTGGTTTTGTTCTGGTACTCTATCGGCCCTAGCCTCCCCGTCTCCACGGATGGTCAGACTCGCCTCTCCATATTGCTGCATGTTCGACATGGGATGAAGTCTGGAGTCTCGAGAGCCTTGGCCCCGCTCACACCCACCCATCCACACATTTGTGTGACTATCTGCCTTGCTGTGTAGTCTAGTGGACTACTGTACCGTCCTGGTCGAGGCCATGCCATGGGCCGAGCTCCACAAAACACGCGCCCAACCTCTGCAAACATCTCTTTTTTTGTTTTCATCCTCGACCGTTCATGTCCACTCGTTTCCTCCCCAGAGGCCTGGATGCCTTCCCTCGCACCTCGGGGCCCACCAGGGGAAACAAACACGATATCCTAATCCTCGTGGTCGCCGTCATCCTCACTGTCCCTCTGCCTGGACGTGAGCAGATATCTCTCCCCGATCAAGTGATTTCATCGGCTCCATCGCCCTGCAGCCCATTGTGACCATCCGCACTCGTCTACCACTCCCGCGGTTTTTTAACTCTCCATTCTTCTTTGCTGAGATCCAAACTTCAACTCTGACATCCACATTCATCTACTGCAAGTCATCATCCGATCTGCAGGACTCATCGAGGCCCCATTGTGCGACCGCTTCTTCGGCCCATCCGACCCAGTTGGCCCATATCATCCCGGCCTTCACCATCTGACCGGGCCTTCCATTCTTGATTCACCTTGACATCGTCTCCTCTGCTGGAACACCATTCGGCTCGGCTGTTCATCACTGCCCACTCAATTGTCAAAACTGAAAGACAAGGTTTCCCATTCCAAGGCAGAAAGGCCTCACCCTCGGTTGGCTTCGTCCAGAGCCCAGGCTTCCATCCGAACAATCGCCTTTTTCTTCGACCACTTCCCGCCGTCTATTCAGTCACCATGCTGTTGTGATCATACGACCATTTCTTCTCTTTTTCTTCCCTTCTTTATCAGCAGGCCTGACAGTTACGCCGGCCGTTAACGCCCAGCTTTGTTTGATCGAGCCCCTTTCAAGTCTCGCCCTTTGACCCCATTGTGCTTGCACAACAATACAATTCAACACCACCTGTCTCGACCATTTAAACTTCTAGGGTCGAAGTCCGATCTCCACACAGGCATTTTGGTACATTGACGCCTTTGCTGCGCATCTTTTTTCTGCAAAACCATACACCCCATACACACGCCAGCCGTGTACATACCCAGCTTGGTTGACTCAAGCTCACTACACTCACACACAAAAAGAAAACATTTACATTCACAAGACAACATGTTTGGACAATCGATTTTGGAGCGGAGTGCTCTGGTGGCTGCGGTCGTTCTCTCGGGCGTTCCCGCCACCATCGCCCACTCTTGGGTCGAGCAACTGAACCGCATTGCGCCAAACGGCACCATGATCGCACCCGAGGGATACCAGCGCGGCTATGTTGGGCGTGGTGACCCAGGCTTCAAGGGAGACGTCTCAGATGATCTGTGGCAGATCCCTCCCAACGACCGGGCGGAGGGTGCTGTCATTTATCCCACAGACCTGCTATGCGCCCCCCAGCAAAAGATCGGCACATACACCAACTCCAAGTACCCGAAGCTGGTGACCGCACCAGGCGACTACGTTGCCCTGCGCCACCAGGAGAACGGCCACGTTACGCTCCCAGCAACCCAGGAGAACAAGCCCCGCAACCGTGGAACCATCTACATCTACGGCACGGAGAAGCCCGGTGCCAACGACACGCTGATGTCCATCCACAACGTCTGGAACGCGGATGGCACCGGCGGCGACGGCCGGGGCCGTCTCCTTGCAACTCGCAACTACGATGACGGCCAGTGCTACCAGCTCAACGGCGGTGATATCTCCACCTCGCGCACGAAACAATTCTCCAAGGAGGCTTCGAACCCCCAGGGCCAAGACCTGTGGTGCCAGTCTGACCTTCAGCTCCCCTCCGACCTCACCGTCGGCGCCGACTACACCCTGTACTGGGTCTGGGACTGGCCCACGCTCTCCAAGGCCAACGCCATGGTCGGGGACGACGGCGTCGAGGTCACCAAGCCAGAGACATACACCTCATGCATGGATCTGGAGATCGTCGACCCCTGCGCAGACGACCTTGGCGACGTGAAGTCCCCAGCCTGCAGCAGCGGCAGCAACGCCAAGACGAAGACCAAGATCGCCAACACATTCTCCAAGGGCCAGTCTTACGACAGCGCCGCCGTGCCCCAGGAGCTCACCGGTAACTTCGCCGTCGGCGTCGACGGTGCCAACGCCGACTCGGGCTCCAACACCGGCATGTCCGCGCCCCCAGACCTGGCGAGCGGCAGCGGTAGCGGCGATTCCTCCACCACGGGCGGTGCTTCTTCTGGCGGCGCGGCTGCATCAGGCCGCCCAGCTGCCTCAGGCGGCGCGGGCGTCGCAAGCCCTTCAGCCTCAACCTTCGCCACCGTCACAACCCCGGCGCCGACCTCAGCTGCAACCAGCGCGGCGGCCGCCGACGGCGCTACCGTCACAGAGCTCAGCACCGTCACCGTCACTGAGGGTGTGACCACCGTCACCGTGACCGCGTCTGCAGGAGTAGACGCTGCTGCCGGCGTGGTCAGTGAGGACAGCACGGGTGGGCTCTCGATCCCCACGCCGGGTGTCGCGCCAGCCGTCCAGCCCTTCACCAGGAGGAAGCGGTCCCGCATCGAGCGCAACCTCTCATAAGATCCCCCTTCTCCCTCAACTCAGACTGTATTTTCCTTTCTCACTTTCTTCGACTGTCCATATGCATCATCATCACCATCATCGTCGCCTGGCATCAAGCGGACTGCGCACGTATATACACACCCTATCACCATCACCTACCACATTGGGAACCGGACACGGGGTGTCAAGGTTAGGCAAAAAGGGGCCGGCATACAGGACAAGGCAGGACAGGGCATGACATGGGCATACGAGGGAACGATTCAAGGGCATGAGGGAAACGTGAAATGGATTATGAGGGTGGACGGGGCGTTGCTTGCATTTTTCTTTCCTTTTTCTCTCACTCTGCATAGGCGAGGCTGGGCCCGCTAAAGATACCACTTCGTTTGGTGTTTCCTTTTCTTTCCTTTTTCCATATCTTGCATTTGCACCACCGGAGGAAGGCATCGTCCGCCCCAGAGAGAGATGATAGAGGCCGATGTGGTCTTCTTCTCGCATTGCATATGCATCGTGGCGTTTGTGTTGTCCTTAGGTAGATGGGATCGTGATACCAATTTCATTCCACCCCTCTTGGTTGAGGAGGTTCAAATTTTGAGCCTGTGTCATGTCTTGTGTGTCTTCGTGTGTCTCGTGATATTCATTCGTGATAGTGTCTGCTCAAACCTGAGTGTCAAGCCTTCAGCGTTCATGATAACACGGCCGCCATGCCAATTGTTCCTCCATGCCGAGTCTTTCAGGATCAATATCAGCTTTCCGGGGCAGAGTAGCTGGCCTTATAAAAGGAATACGGAGATTTGCACCTGAAAAACGGAGGGTACACCGGTACATCGCCATCTCTAAACCACATGAGAATTCGCACACACAACACCCACACCTAAGACCTATATCTAACACCCATACCTAACACCTACACCTAACACCCACATCCAACATCTATACGCCCAACTCACACGCCCAATTCAAGTTAGGCGTGTAGGTGTTGGGTGTGGGTGGGCGAATTGGGCCTGGGTGATGTGCTCTGATTGACTATAGCAGTGGCGTGAGTTGATGTACCGGTGTGCCCTCCGTATTTGCAGGTGCGAATCTCTGACTTCTTTGAAAAAGTCTTTGTAAAGCAAAATGGACATCATTCATCAGGTAATCCCTATGGGAGAAGCTATGGTATGTTCGGCACAGGCGCGCGGGATAGCCGCTGATGGCCTGCGACTGGCCGCTATTAGTCCATGTGTCCTCCCGCAGACTTGCCCAGACGAAGAATTCTCAGCTGGAAAGCTGAGTAGTCGACTTGCCCCTTCATCGAAGAACGAATATCAATACAGCCAGTTCTGTGCCTACACCCGGCTTCTCCCTTGGTTTCTTTTCCTTTTCTTCTACTTCCTCTTTCCTTCTCCCGTGACACTGATCCTTTTTGTGGAGGCTCTTCGGTGTTGTCATTCACCCGCAACTTGGCACCTCCCTTAGAAGCCTGGACAGTGTTACCCTCAAATGCGTCTTTGAGCACTCAGTTTTCCGCGCCCATGTGGTCTTGGTCCACATCATCTTGGTCTGTGTTGTCTTGGGCTGGAGGTGAGCGCAAAGGGTTTTGGAAGACGTCGCCTCTGATATATGCAGTGGCAAGGTTTGGTGTGTCATCCCACGTGATGAAATTGCCTCGATATGTGTAGTCCAATTCTTCATCGTCGTTGCCCGTCGAGTCTCTCACAGTTGAGTCGCAGTCGGCCTTCAAGCGGAGCACATCAAGAAGGTCAGCCCAAAGGCCGCTCAGCAGATGCACTCCGTCCATGTCGATGTAGGTTCCAGGCTTCAGCTTCTCGAGGTGCTTGCTGAGCTCATCATACTGAAAGTAGCCATTGGCCAGTGATATTCTCTTGAGATTGACCCAGGGAAGCAATGCAAGCAATGGTTCAAGACTCGAGCGTTCGTCTGTTTGAGAAGACTGCCAGCAGTTAAAGCTGAGAGTTACAGACCTGAGGTTTGTGCCGTTCAAAAATAAAGACACGAGTTTGGATACTCTGGCCTGCCCACCGGACTGCACAGCTCGTGGAGTCAGTTTACAGTCAATTTTCAGGACTTTCAGGTGTTCAGCTGCGCTGACAAGATCTTTGACCCGCTTCTCGCTGAGTCTCAGCTTGTGGTCTGTGAAGGGCATCAGGCAGATGCGCAACTCAGTTAGTCGACTGCCTGCTCGGATAAATGCGAGTGGCAATTGGTAGAGAACCTTGACAGGTCTCTGTTGTATCAGCGAGACCAATCTACGATCCCATGGCCTGGGTTCAAGCAAACGTCGTCGGACAGAGGCATAAATTGGGCCAGACATTTCAGTTGATGGAAGGCGCGACTTAGAATGCAGATGGTCGGTGATGGACAATCCAGCTACCGTCGGCATCCTAGCCACTGCCTCAGCGACGATTGTAACGAAGGTCTCATTTTGCAGAAACGCAATTTGGTTGTTGAGGAATCGCTCGTACATTTGTAAGCTTGGCGCAAGATGGCTATGTTTTGATCCTCATCTGATTCAGATGTCTCATTTCGCAAAAAGTTGATATATAACCGTATGAGTTTCTCGCGCTTTCCTAAATCGTCGACATTTTCGTACAAGTACTCATGGTCTTGAGGGGAGGGGCGATTTGAGGCCTCGAAATCTGGCTCGGGCTCAAACTCCTGCGCATAATGTTGCAGGTAACTGAGATCGCCCTGGTGGTCCTCACGCATTATCCTAAGAACTTCGGTGATAAAGTTTTGCAGGTTGCTTTCAGGAATAGGACGGTATAGGCCAACGAAGATCTGCAGCGATCGTATGCCCTTGGAAATGGTGGGGTGACGAGAGACCCTGTCGAGATGTTTGACTGACAAACTTGTCAATGCAACATCCAGCCGGTGTAGTAGTAGATGAGAACTGGTGTCGCACAATCGCCTACATGTCAGACGAAGGCTCTTGATGTCTTTGATACCAGCGATGGAATAATTATCGTCCTCGAAGTCGAAGACGCCTCTCGCATTTTCAGAGATCTCCATCAAAAGCTCATCAGGAAGTTGGAGGATGTGAAGTTTTGGAATCGAAGGTCGAGCGTGCGCAGCAAGAGTCTCCCGCAGGCTGCTCTGAAGGTCTTCCGGGATTGGAAGGCGTGGTTTAAGCTCGAAGACTGTTGTCTCGTTGGACTTCTCCAAATTCAATCCATGCGTTCTGATTGTTTGCTGTATGGACTCGACGTTGATTAGCTGGATGCTGATATCCTCCATGCAGACGTGCTCTGGAGTGAGTTGTCCTGGGGATGGGAAGGTGCTGACGCCTGCCACGATGGCACTCTCTGTAGTGTGCTCGTCTGTTGGCAGCGCTGCGCCAACCTCATCCATTGTGGCTTTCATGATTCAAAGCGCCTTATTGTTGTCTGTTGGCCGGAAAAGACTCGTGAAGGTGTCAGTTGCAGAAGCATGGTCAGTGTGAGGCTCGTCGATCCACGCTAGGCAATACGCAAGGCATCATTGTGATAACAGTGATGGGACTCGGGAAAGGTGAAGTCAAAGGTATAGCGTGCAGTTACTCACAAATCTGAAGGCTTTCCTTGTCAAGCGACTGTTACGTCGCCGAGACAGATTGGACTGTGAGGCGCAAGGATTGGTGTGACGTCAAGGAGAGATGAATGCAAGTATTGCAAAGTCGAGGTTGGAGGTAAGGTTGTCGACAGTGAACCTGCGACAAGATGTGTTTGACGGAAGGGCGTTGCCTAGAGATGTTTGTATTGTTGCGACTGTTGTTCGCCAGTGGCGTAGAGCAGCTTCGTTCTCTGCGTAGATTTTCTCAACTTTCGTAAGCCATCCTTTTGCTTGACACTGAGAAGATCGTGGAAAGCCCAACCAGTAATGCCCGTGACGCCGATGTGAGTACCCAGAATGGTACGAGGGGCAAAGAGTGCGAAGGTTGACTTTGGTAAACAACGAAGGTTCACCTTGGAAGTGCGGCAACACGCTTCAGGGAGAAGGTGGGGTCTGGGCTGTGGTTTCTCTCGAAGAGAACTTGAATTGAGACGATCAAATGCGGAATGAAAGTAGGCAAAGGGGTGCTCAAAGTTGAGCAGAGATCGAAGGTGAGTGGACCTGGGGAGTGGGTGTGAAGTGGGAAAACAAGAAGGCGGGAGGCAGGAAGGCAAACGGAGAGAGCTAGGCAGTCTTGAAAACAACTTCAGTAAAAGCTTCGGAGCTGCACTATAGCAGGAAACCGTTTCTAGGGACCGTTTGCAAAGCTAGACAGCCTCAGTGCTGGAGATAGAAAGTTACCAAGGTGTTGTCTTGGGCCAACGGCTTTCTTTCCAGCCAGAGGCAAACTTTCCCGTGGACGTGAGAATGGAATGGTAGACTTGTGATCTGTGGCAGTCTTTTCGATGAAAAAACCTCGAGCCTCGAATGCTACTTATTGGCGCTTAACCCAACACATGCGCAAGAAGCTCCGAGACGGGAAGGAACCTCACCATAGCTAGACGGTGTAAGTTGGAAAGACAACCCAGGAACTAAAACCCTTTCCAAGGACAGGAACCAAATCACAGCAGACACACCAATGTGCTCGACGCAGCCTTGGAAAATACAATGCATCTTTCGGTAGCCCTAGTTCTATCTACCCATCAATAGGACACCTATACTCCCGCTCCCTCCCGTACTCATCGACATGTCTCCTCGCGCCCGTCGCCTCGTCCCGTGGCTGCAACGCCTCCAGGCAGCTCTGGTGATAGATATGCCGGCAGGCCAGCACGACCAGCGGCCGATAGCCCGGCTGCTGGTTCGCCGACCCGCCATGCGGTGGTTGCTGCTGCGCGGACCCCTCGTCCTCCTGCTGCTGGTCATCGTCCTCAGGCGACGACCCTTCGCCGCCGCGGTCCGGCGTCCTCGCCTCGAAGGACTCAGGCGTCATGGGCACCGACGAGTCCTTGCCCTTGCCCCTTCCGCCGCCCCCATCGAAGCCGGAGGAGCCCGCCCCGCCGTAGTCGAGCATCATCATGCCCTCGCGCCCGACCTTCTCCCTGCCCTTGCCGCGCTCGGCCGTGCGCCCCAGCCCGGCGAGCCTCGCCTTCCGCCTGGCGTCCTCAGCGGCCGTCTTCTCCTCCCACGCGTCGATGATCCCCGTAGAGATGGCGCCGGGACCCCAGACCCGGACACCGCACGCCTCGCACGTCGAGCCCCGGGACCGCCACCCGCGCTGCCGCAGCTCCGTCGCCTGCCTGACGCTCACGAAGAGGCTGCGCTCGAGGAGCCGGTTCGACAGCCGCAGGATCGACTCCTCGTACGCGTACGCCGCGAAGATGGACTGCAGCACTGCTCGCAGGTCGGCGAGGGTCGGGGACGAGGCCGCGGCCTTGGTGAGGAATGCACGCAGGATGCGGAGGAATGTGAGGTTGTCGCCCACTGCGGATGCCGTGGTGGAGAGGACGCGGGTTGGCCCGCTTGGCTGCTGTGCGGAGGGCGTGGATGTGGCGGCAAGCAGGGCTGTGAAGGTGTGTTGTACAAGGGAGCGGAGAAGCCCTACCAATCTCTCCGTGTCTATCTCTTGTTGGTGTGCGTCAATTCCATTGACCTGCTTGCCCTTTTCGGCTTTTGAAGCCGCCTGATTGGCAATGTTTTGGATCGAGGTCGATAGACGACGGGTAATTTGGACTGTTGCATCAATGAGGCTGAGCCACAATGTCTCATCTGGCGACAGATCGTCCGTAGATGTTGTCTTTTTCTTGCGCTGCCCAGCCGTCAATCTCTTTGCGGTCTTGGTCTGTCCCTGGCAGAGCCAGATTCCCACATGTGTATACTTTTGCAGGCCCTTCAGAAGATCTGCAGTTGGTGAATGGATGTCGGTATGGGCCTCATCCTCCTTGGTCCCAGTGAGAAGACCCTGCAGGGCAGACTCGAGCGTGTTCAATTGCTTGACAAGCCTTTCCATGGCCTCGTGTGTTTGACCCTCGCGGGCCATCAACACGACCGCTGCGTCAATAACACCTGTCTCCTCCATGGTTGGTAGGAGCTTGTATAACCGCAAATTGGTGGACTGGACAATTCCCACATAGTCTGAGACATGAGTGGGCTCATATCTGCACATAAGCTGCACATACTGCTCGATCAAATCTCTTTCGGCCGATGGCTTGAAGTCCTCCGGACGTTCGACAGCGGGTTCCAAGATGGCCTTGAGGTAGCTGTACTGCAACTCCGGCTCATCCGTTGTGGAATCCAGTATGTGACGATGTAGCTCCGGCGCGTACAGTTCCACCACCTTGGCTGCCCGTGAAGGGTCGAGGTCCACTAGGTCTCTCGAATTGTCCTTGATGACTTGATGCACTTCTCCGATTTGGCGCTTAGAGAGCCCCGTCTGCGGACGCAGGCAGTTCGCTATGCAGTCAAATGTTGCATCTTTGTCATCTGGATCCTCAAAGTACGTCTGCAATAGCTTGCCGTATTGTTTGTCGAGTCTGTACTGCCTTTTCAAGATTCGATAGAACCCAGCTCTCTTGAATAGCGGCATAAGCGTAGGAAGATCGGATGGGTTGTATACGGACAGCAGATACTCAGCACTCAACTGGGCGTCATCTGCGAGATCCGCTCCTGGGAAATTGCAAAGCCCAGTCAACACTTTCGTCAATGCCGAGCCTGGCAGCAGTAGGTACTGTGGGTATTTGGGCAAATTTCTTGCGATGAACATGTCCAAGTAAATGGTGTCTTCGGCCGCGAAGTCGGTCGGGTTCATGATCTCGATCAGGATGGAAACGATGTACTGGCGATCGACCGTGAGGCCAAATATCTGCTCTTCCGGCAGGTCTCCCCTCGCTCCTCCGTTGACTTTCTTCTCCGGAGAGTCGTTCAAGAACGAGTCCTCAAATGCCTCGTTCAGTGAGCTCAGAAAGCTCGGTGCATCGAACTTCAGGATCATCCGAAGGTATGGAAACGATGGCTCATCAGTCTGATTGGGGCGGGTGAGGAAACGCTTGTTGCTTCCCTTGGGCCACACTATGCTCTTTCCAGAGAAGAGGAACCAGTAGAGCTCTGCTTTCGCTTTCATGGACCGTTCATGCTCGATCGTCTCGCCAGTCGGATAGACTCGGCTCGTCAGAATGTAGGAAAGGTACGGAAATATCTTCAGGGCGTTGACGCTGGAGGCTTCCTCGTCCAAGATGTTTCCTGAGACCTCATCGTCCGCTTCGCGCATCAAGGGTATCAGAAGCGTCAACAGGTCAATAAGTGGCGTGATGTAGTCGTCGAGCGCCTGATTCCAGACGTAAATAAGAGCATCGTAAAGGCTGTGTTGCTTGCACAGACCGGTGACCTGGTCTAGGTCCATGGTGGCTGTTTCCATGTGGCAAATCATCTCCTCGAGCCGACTCTCAAGCCCCTTGCTGACGAAGTGAGCGACCATGCCTTTCACGACTGTGGGCGGTACCGACGAGATCGTCCTTTCCAGAATGTACGACTCCATGGTTTCAAGGAAGATGCCTTCAACGCCGGCATCCTCGTACCACTCGTACATCTCGTCAAACAAGAAATCGATGTTTCCGATGCTATGACATGCCGTAAAGCAGGTCTCGCTTAGCTCTTGTAGCTGACCGTCATCCACAGCTTCAGGGTCCCTCTGTCGCTGGCCAAAGGCATACTTCAAAGACGCACTCATGAGCTCCAGGAGCTTGTCTTTGACCATGGTGTGCCGCACCTCTGTGTTTTCTGGCAAACCCACTGTGAGTTTGTTGGCATCACCCGTGTAGTAGAGCGTGGCTAATTTGATGGCGCCAACGTAGTCGCCGTTCTCCATCAGTGCGATAAGGCGATCTGCCCAGTTGGACAGTGCTCCGATGGAGACATCGTTGAAGCCCATGAGGAATATTCGATTCTTGTAGGCCTTGAAGCTCATGTAGAAAGCGTCGGCCACCACGCCATGCATGGATGTGTCTTCTTCATCAAGCTGCTCAACCAAGGTGTGCAGCTGCTTCGAAAAGAGGTCGGCGTGATATATATGTCGCCCTATGAGATCGAATGCCTCGGTCATCCGCATGCTCCGGTCCTCTAGGACAATCAACCTTTGGCTGATCGTGAGGACTGTCAGCACGGACCTGCTCAGCCATTGCACGGCCACAACCGCCTCTTCACATTTCCATCTGCTCCTGGCTTTAAACTTGAGACTTGGCGGTTTGTCCTTATCCTCAGCGGGTATCTCCTCGACGTCCAAGACAGTCAGTACGTTGGACCAGCAGTACACGAGCTTTGCCTTGGCGATCTGGCTACCGGTTGCTGGATCCGCGACTTTCAGCTTCACGGCAGGGAACCAAGCCAGGCACCCCGTCATGGCGCTATGAGCGGCGACCTCTTTAGGCCTCGCCGACTTGTGCTGCGTCTGGGCAATGGGGGTGGTGGACACAATGACCAGTAGATAAGGAGTCAACATCGCCGTCAGGCCCATGGCATCTGTGGCACGCTCGATAGTCCCAAGAGGCAAGGGCGCGAAAGCAAGAACCGTACTAGGCTTCAAAACTTTGCCCGAGGCGAGGGGTTTCGAGTCCGGATAACGTCCTAATATCCTGGTCGTCTTGACCGTTCGACCGAAAGATCCAGTGCCTCGCGTTGCGAGGTGTGAGAACGCCATGCCCCTGTCGTCGGCAGACACAAGAGCGGTATGTCTCGTACCCAGGAATCCCAGGTGAGTGATGGCGACGCCTGGCATGTGGCCATCCATCGTGCGGTTTTGCGTCTGCGCGGCGTCCAGCGGAGGAATATGCAGGAATGGGCGAGATGCACGTGAGGTGTCCCAGGTGAAGATGCTCCCATCAGCATGGCCGCCGCCCAATGTGGTGTGGTCTGCTGATATTGCGATAGAGACTATCGCGCCGCACTCGACGGCTTTTGTTCCCGGCCCAATGATCATCTTCAGGTTTTGGTTGTAGTCAAACATTAATATTATGCCCTTGGAGGTCCCGAGGACTATGTGAGTTGAGACAGCAATGCACGTCGGGGATCCAAAGTTCCGTTTGCCAACTTCTGAGAACGCCGACCCGTTGAGCTTCCTCAATTTGGTCCATCTGACAACTTCCCACGGCGGAGACGGAGTCTCAGTGTCACCAGTGTCTAAGAGGATCTGACTGGTCAGGGAGGCATTGCGACTATGGTTTGATAGGAACGCCGGTGAGGCCGGCCTGGGGGACAGGTTGCTCGGCGTAGAGATCCGGGACTGGAAGCGGCGGTCGAAAGGTCGAAAGGAGGGAGTCGGGCTCCCCATTCGGGGTCTCGACGCGAGTGATGGGAGGACGCTGCTACTGGGGGAGGAGATACCAGAACCCTGGCAATGTTAGCTCTTGGTAGAAGCATCTCGGGAAGGGCAGCAAGAGGTGTTACCTGAACAGAAGGAGAGCGGTCCGGGACAGAGATCATGGAGTCTACGGGACTTCCGGCCCTCCTGGGCAGCGCGTCCAGTGAGCCATTGTCGGACGTGGCCTCTAGCTCTTCTTCAGCAAGTCTTTTGTACCTGTGGGCAAGGCCGTTCTCCTCCGACGGCAGCGTGGAGTCCTGTTGTCGCTCCTCCTCTAGCAGATCGGAGATGTGGTGGTCGGCGGCCTGCTCTGTAGGCGCCTGCTGCTCGTCACCAGTATCCTGAACCGGAGGAGGGTCGGCCATATCTGTCATCTCCTCCCCAGCAGCATCTTCTCTCTCCTCTGATGATGCGCTCATCGGGTCGGATTCGTGCTGCGCATGGCTCCGAGCCTGGTGATGGCCACTCCAGGAGTCCGGAGCTCGAGACTGCTGTGGGACGATAGGCGCTGAGAACGCTGAGAGTCACTTGGCAAGCTGGGCGGCGGATTCAACAACAGAGCTCGTTTCACACAAGCCTAGAAGCGTGGTCGCCTAAGACCTGGGAGTTCGGCGACTAGAACAGACGGTGGCTATCCTCGACTGAATTGGTGTAAGTGGGACAGGTAGGCAACGTCTTCATTCCTCTACCCCAATTACGCACACCTTCCCAGCCCACCGAGAGCTATCTGCAGCTAGACTACAGGCCGCAGGGCACAGGGGTTAGCAAGCTTGTCTCCAGGCACGGCTGAGCAGCCGTCGATTAGATAAGGACATCCCGGGCAGCATCATCCAGGGCAATGCATGTGCTCCTGTTCCTTACATGTACATAAATATTCACTGCATTAACGTCACCTCTTTTCTTCGCGCCCCGCTCATCAAGACCGAACTCACACGTGAATACTATCGGAATCTTCAACAACACCCGAGTCACCTCTTGGAAGAGCCCTGATCCCAATCATGTCTTCAATTGGGCCTCAACTACCACCACACCTCACCAAGCGCAAGCGCAGTCCCGAAGACGAAAGCCCAGACTCGCCATCCACCAAGACATCAAGACCCAACAACGAGAACGAGACAGCCCTAGATGGCGAGGAGAGTGACTCAGACGATGGCTACGGGCCAAGCGCACCAAGGCCGGCCGCCACTGCTGGTCCTCAAAGACCGTCAATAGGGCCATCGCTACCGCCCACAGCCGCCAGCGGCAGCAACACAGACGAAATCGCTCTGAACTCCGATTCCGACGACGACGACACAGGCCCAGCTCCACCACCATCAAAAGAAGCAGCTGCAAAACCAACCGCACAACGACCACGGCGCGTGATGGGGCCCGCACCCCCGCCCGCAGACCTCGCCTCACGGCCCACGACCGCGCCAGACTCGGACTCAGATTCCGATTCAGACGACGACTATGGGCCCGCCCTACCCGGCGCCGCTTCAGCGAACCACTCCAATGCCACCGCTGGGCCCTCCTTACCGAGACCCGCGGCCGCGCCGGAGAAGCCCGCGCGCGACGACTGGATGCTCGCGCCGCCGGAGCCGACGGGCTACCAGGAGCGGGACCCGACCAAGATCAAGGCGCGCAAGTTCGCGAGCGGCGCGGGCGCCACCTCGCGGCCCGCCGGCGGCGGCGGCGGGATCAGCAAGATCTGGACCGAGACGCCCGAGGAGAAGGCGAAGCGGCTCGCGGACGCGGTGCTGGGGCGGGGAGGCGGCGACAACGAGCAGCAGGCAGCAGCAGCAAGCAAAGGCAGCAGCAGGAGCGGAGGGATGCCGGGTCACAGCGGGGCCAAGGAGGACGGGCAGCAGGAGAAGATCCGCGCGTTCACGGAGCAGACGCGGGGCAAGAGCCTGTACGAGCAGCACCAGACGGCCAAGAAGGCCGGCGGCGCTGGGGCCGGGAGCGGCACCGGTAAGAAGGCAGGGGCAGACGATGAGGAGGACGACGACCCGAGCAAGAGGGCGTTCGACCGCGAGAAGGACATGGGCCTCGGGATGAAGATCACGGCGTCGCAGCGCAAGGAGCTGCTGAACAGGGCGTCGGACTTTGGCGGCAGGTTCTCGAAGGGGAACTACCTGTGAGAAGAAGGCTCGCGGGAGTGCGGCTCGCATGGGGTTTAACTGGCACTGCAGCAGGCACAAGATACCCGTAGAAAAACTTGCGCACATATGACTGCACTCAGACATAAGACGAGACCTGAACATATCACTAGACTCCGATGGGCCAAAATGAATCAGTTTCTTGTGCCCGTCCGTGCCTATCAGCAACGGCGGGCGGAATCCCATTCAAACAAGGACTGACTGACCGGCCCGAGATGCAACGCCCCTATCTCCAGTGGTACAAACAACAGATACGACTCAACTCCCCGCAAAACCCATCGAAGACAGCCAACAAGGGAAAGATAAAATCAATGCGCTTGCTTTGCCACCCTCACCCATCCATGCTTCCTTCCTTCCTTCCGTCCATCCCTGGCCTGGTTTTGCAGACCGAGCCCCCAAAAGCCATAGCCTACACCTGCACCCGCACCCTAGTTTAACCCGACCACCGTAGAAGCAACTCCACGGATGAAAGCGAAGCACCCAGACGAGCACGTTTCCTGTTGGTGGACGACCCGGGGTGTGATGTCACGCAGGTATGCGATACCTATATAATGTAGAATATGATGGTCCAGCGTAGCCGCACGGTATCCCTCCCATCTTATCAGCAGGAGACTGAGACAGCTCTAGAAAGTGGCCATGTCGGGGGGTATGCCGTGTTTGGGCTGCTGGTTGAGATGAGTTGATATACAATGTCGATTGACGGTCGACTAGTCCGGTAAATGTACTGTGAGGGCGACTCCTTTTGTTTGGGGCAAAATAACGTCAAATTCATAATCTAATTCTCTGATCCCTGTCATCTTGCCGCATCCGCACGTGTACCGGCCTCCAAGGCTGATGGTGTTACTTGTGCGTTTGCGGCCGACTGCTCTTGTGTCGCCGCGGACCGTCCAAAACTGGGCAACTGTTGTCGAATAGAGGATAGGAAACCCCCAGAAGATGTTTGAGTGGTCTGAGTCGCTGTGGCGTTGTCGGTGGCCGTTGGGGCCGGACGTGACGATGGCTGGGTACCCGATCGTGAGAAGAAGCCACCGCGCTGCTGCTGACGCTGTCGTCTTCCGTTGTTGTCGCTGCGCGGTTGCGTTTGGGGCTGGCCAGAGCCATTGTTTCTGTTTCTGCCCATTTGAGGCAGAGCCAAGCGTCCTCGTCGACCTGAGAAAATCCACGCGACGCCAGGCCGCGAGGGCATGTTCGCCCTATTCGTCCGCGGGTCCTGGGCAATTGAAACGGTCGGCCCCACCTGCGTTCCCTCGGCCCCCTCGGTCTGAGGCTGACGGGGCTTGGGTGTGTAATAATCAGCCTTGCAGAGTGGGCAGCAAGCACGTCTGCTGGTCAGCCATGGGTCGAGACACACAGCATGGAAAGCATGGCCACAGGTTAGTCCGCGGACGTCGTCGTCATCCTCCAGGGTATCGATACAAATGGCGCAAGTGTCGCCGGATGACTCCAGCGCCTCCGGTGGTAAGGCATCGTGGATTTGGTCGTCCTCGTCTTCGTAGTGGTCGTCGTCGGAGGCGGGGCTGTCAGTTCTCGCCGGTGCTGTTGTGGCATCGGCAGTAGCAGGCCTCGTTGTAGACTGTGCCTCGCCGGCCGCGGTGGAATCAGGCGCGGCCTTCTCGGCATGTTCGGTGGTTGGCTCACGGGTGGTCTCTCTGGCGATAGATGTTCCGCTGGTCGCCGGTCTATCCTCGGTGGAATCGCGCTCTTTAATCGTGGGAATAATGCCATCGGCGTCCCGAAGACTGTTTGCTCGGCTTGGGGGCTGAGAGATACCGCCACGAGTGGGTAGGCCTTCCTGAGCACGGCTGGCGACCCAGTTTTTGTATTTCATCATTGGAAATTTTTCGTTGACCTCGTCCATGGTCATTAGCTTCTTCTCGCGGCGGCGGCGCCGTGGGTGCTGAGGCATATTCTCGAGGTTGATGGGCTCGCCATCCTCGCCCGTCATCCGGATGTTGCGATTCCGAGCATTGTAGCGGAAGCAGTACTTAACACCGACAATGATCCTGTTCGCATCACAAATTAGAACAATGTGCCCCCTGCACCGGTTGTGCACCGCTGCGGGATGAACCAAATGCTCACCAGAGGTTCGTAAACACTACACCAAAGCCGAGTGCGACAAAAAAGAGCAGTGGTGACGAGCCCTGCCCGCTCCCGTTTCCATTCCCATTCCCATTTCCATTATTATTCCCGTTGCCGGCATCAGCTGGTGGTGATGTTGGGCCACTAATGGGGGTGGTCAAAGACGGTGCATCGCTGGAGGAGGCCAGGGTCGGGTCGGGCGACGAGGTTGCCGAGGAGATGGCGCTGGTGGTCGCCTGTCTGATCTCGTGCTGGAGGGTGCGGACGGCGATGTTGGCCAGGCCGGCCAGGTCGAGGTTGTCGAAGGGCATGGCGAATAGAGAAAGTCCCGGGTGTGGGCCCACTGGATGGGGATTCGAGAGGATGCAAGGCTGTCTGCGGTTGTGGTGGTTGGGCTCAGGGCGTACGGGGCACGCCTAAGCGACCGAGGAGCCGCGGCAACCGACAGCAAAAGTCAATTAAGAGGCAGATTGAACCTCGTCCATTGACGGAGACAATCCGTGGAGGAAATCAGCGATATATTAAGCCAGCGCAAGCCCTCTGCGACCACGAATATTTTTCCGGGCGTCGAGGGGTCCGATTCGGACGGGGATGGCGGTGGGTTGAGGGTTGAGGTGGGTGAGAGGAGGAGGAGGAGAGGAGGAGAAGCAGAGAAGTAGTAGGCACGAGTGGCGGGTGGTGGGTAGGAGGGAGCGAGAGAATGTGATGAAATGAAACCCTGGGCAGGTTGGAGGTTGGCTGGATTCTAGAGCAAGGCAGGGAATGAAAAGCGGGCGAGGGCGGCGCAGTTACAGCAGTCTCCAGTAGCCTCCAGCGGGCTGGTGGGCTGGCTGACTGACTGGCAGGCTTGGGTGTGCGAGCGGCGCTAACCCCGGAACGGGAGAGGAAGAGGTGGAGGGGGGGGGGATGGATGTGGAGTCTGGACGCCTGCTCGGGTGGAGGTTGGCTTCGTCTGTGACGCCCCCCTCCCTCGCGCTTGGACTGCCTTTTGGGATTTCTGGGATCACTGGGAACGGGCGGGCAGGGGTGACCCTCGCAGCCTCGTGCAGGGCAAGGGCACCGGTACTGGAACTGGGCGACAAGATAGGTAGACCGCCTGCCTCTCTTTGTTTGTTCTGCTTGGAGCTTGGGCTTTGGCTTTCTCGGTCTTGGCCTAGGTCTTGGTCCCTGTCTGGAAGGGTTGAGTGCGTGCTTCGGATACGCTTCAACCAGCTGGACCGTCGAGTTTCAGAAGATGAGCCCACCTATGGCATTCAGTCCGCGTCACCAGCAAACGGTGGTGGTGACGGACGGAGTCGGGGAGAGGTGGCAGAGACGGTTCTCGGCACAGGAGAGACGGACTATTGATTTGCCTGTTCAGTGTTGGGAGTGATTAATCTGGCTGACCGACTGGCAGTGGATTGACTGGGAGAGTGGTATTATTGTTCTTTTAGCCCAGCACAGCAGCATCACCACCAACCAAGAGCAGCATGAGTGTGGCTTGCATGGATGCGGGCCCAGACTTGTCATCAAGGGGGATCTGTGCCTGGGGTCGGGAAAGGAGCAGGAGGCACGGGTCTCACAATCCACGTCAGGGCTGGAAATCAACGACAGGAACAGTCAATAAAATCCCTCGACTGGGACGCATTATTATTACTGTAGTGTTGCTCGTGTACACGTACTGCACTGCCGGTAGATGTGCGGTCTCAGTCTTGAATTACCCTGACTTGGTCGGTGTCAGTGAGTGATCTCGACTGGCGGATGCAGTAGTCCGTTCTACTGACTGACCTGCACTTTAGTTTGCTGATCTCGAATCTCACCACCAGCCTCCTCCGGTTCGGATGCAGCCAGTCAATCCCACATCCACAATCAATCAGTCAATCACTGACATCACGCACGCATCGGCATCTCAATTGTGGGCACCTCCAAGACCTGGGGCCACCTGCCCAACAGTGGACAAATGACAAATGAGAAAGGAGCCCGTCACCAAGCATGGAGTGGGTCCGCCTGCATTCTGAGTCTGGGGAAAGAGCCCTCCCAAGCGGATAGCAGCCCGGATAGGATGCTACCGTACCTAGATAAAATGTGTAGTCTAATGTGCCGCATTGCATCTCTCTGCTCCATGCAACACCACCATGCCAATGACCATCGACCCCGACATGGACCAACGACTCGCCTGCGCGCATCAACCATCCTCTGCCTGCAACTGCGCGCGAGTGGCCTACCCACACTACGCATCAAAGCTTATGCCCACGAGATGGAACTGCCGTCGCCCACGACGAGAGTCAGGTCGGCCGTGCCCTGCAGCTGAAGCAATCCTCGCGGGTCGCCGAGCCCGTCCACAGCAGACGGGACAGGGAACAAAACCTTTGATCAACAAGGAGCGGCAACCCGTCCCGACATTGTTCTCCAAAGTCATCCCAACTCTCCAACGCCAACAACCTTATTAAAGACAACAGGAGCCTCTTGGTTGGGAATGGGAACCCTCGGAACCGAGAGCGGCCCAGGTAACGATGAGGATAAGCACGGTCTGACCGCATCCTGGGCACGACCCCTTAGCCGCGGACGCAGGGCGGCTGCACCGAACGCCGCTCTATCTCTTGTCCCCCAACTTCTGAAGCAGTGCCCACTGCAGCTGTGCCGCAACATCAGACTCAAAACCCAAAACCGAAAACCCGGCACCTAGTAGTGCAGACCGCTCTATGGCCGTCGCAGCAATGCATCACCTGAGTGCCACAGCTGTTGTGCAACTAATCAGCCACGTCGTCTCTGCCATTCCTCGTTCTGGGAGGATCTCATAATAATAACAACATCATCACGTTGGTGCCGCGAGCTGACAGGGCGCGCGGCCTATGCGTCGGCCAACACAGGAGCCACTGGAAAGCATCGTATATTTGGCACCATAGCGCATCTCGTGAGGTCGCATGCGACCAACAAATGCAACCTCCTGTGCGGATTGCCCCTCCCCTCCCCTTGGCCACGGGACTGTGCCTGCGGCGACAAAAGCCACAGATGGGCCAGATCCGCTGAATTATTTGTGAGACTGGGGGGAGAAAAGGATTCGCACGGCCTGTGCTGCAATCTATCTCATCCTGAACAAGTCGAATCCCACCATGGCCATCATCACGGCTGCACGGCTGATGGTTGACGGTCACAGTTGGTCTGCATGGCGCGATGCCGATCCTGTACCAGGAATCGCCCCCCAAGTTCACTTGACGTCCTCGAGTGCTCCCCCAGAACTTGTGCTGCAGAGTACCCCCGCGCTGGATTGCCCATCACGGTAATGATGGTGCGCGTACATCCCAACGTGGCGGTCCACCATGCAACTGGTCCGCCGGGAATAACGAACCGCATTCCAAATAATGACTAGCCGACGAGAAAAAGTATTTGAGTCATGGAGAATACTCTAATTAAAATTCTGTGACAGCTGTGAACCTACGAGATTTCATCAACACCACCAATGGAGGCATCTTAGATACCGTGCCAGCCGCACAACCCAGTACCAGGTCACCCTAACACAGACCATGAGCTTACTACTGCACAAAGGGTGCCACTGGAGGGGCAAAATCGCATGGAATCCTGTTTCAGCGTCCACACATTCATACATATCTACCCGACAGCAGCCAGTAAGCTCACCTGGCACCACGAAAGAAGCAGCCATAAGCAGCAGGTCCACGACGGCGATGACGGCGACAAGCCCAAAGTGGCGGGATGGCAGTGCTGTGCCCCAGAGAGCTGGGCGTTCTGGGCCTCTGGGGAACGGCGAGAACGGTTCGTCAAGAACGGAAGGCCCAGAGCAGCTAGCAGCTGGAGCAAGCACAGCCCTATCATGAGGTCTGCGGGATGGGCGCTTGGCAAGCTTGGGCTCTTGATAATAAATTGTCATTCCGCGACCACCACCACCCGGAGCCACTGGCCACGGCTACTATACGTCTATGCGTGTATACGTTGTCTCCCCCATCCTTCCTCCATCGGTCGGGAGGGGCGAGGGCGAACCCGGACGAACAAGACTTAGCCCAGGCCGTGCAGGCCGTGGGCCGTTAGCCGTGGCATCCGCTAGAGCCGAAGGGCGCGAGCTGCTAAGATATTATGCCACAAAACTGCCTGTCACCGTGCACCATATTCACGCCCGACCCCCTCTGAGCCTCTTTGTCCACGTCGCCTTGGAGGGGGCCCGAAGGAGCGGGTGCCGAGCATCCGGATTGTCTTGACGCAATAGAAGATGTGAGCGTGAACAGAAGCACGAAGAAGAAGAAAAAACAAGTCTATGTGTAAGGGAATTCTTGTCCCACCTTATACCCTACCCGCCCACCGGGCCCAGCCACTCATCTCCCTCGCTGCACCCCGGAGCTTGTGGGCATGCCACCGGGGCGGTTCCGCCCACGAGATTTCGAGGTGCCGTGTTACCCATTGTGGGTTCACCTGTCGTGGTTGCTTTTCGCGCTCCCCTCCCTCTACACACTCGGGCTCTGCGTGTCTAGCCCAGCCCCAAAACAAGCTTTTTTGTCGTTAATATCTGGTGCCGTCTATAACGCACGAAAACCCCAGCCGTTCGTGCGCCTGTCCCGTGGCAGGCCTTGCGACTGGCTGTCCAGGGGCCGGGTGGTGTGAGCTTCTTAGATCAATTATTCCACCGGGCTGGCTGGCTGGTGGCACGAGATTTGTTCTTCGGCAGAGTCGAGAATGACAGGATGAGGGAAGACGCATCGTCCCTGTTCATCCAGTGTGTGCCCGTCGGTGCGGCCGGCCTCACTTGTACGATGCTATTTGCTCTGCTTCTGTATTTTGGCTTTTGCCCTGCGACGTTGGTTACCGTGAATGGCGCCGTCCCGTCCGGAGAGGGCGTGGCCCGGATGGCGGACTTCTCGAAGAAAGGGGGTCGGTCCCTGCTTGACTTCTTGTGGTCTAAGCTGAGCGGCGGCCGCGAGTCTTTGTTGCATCTGGAAACACCCCAGACCACCGGGCAGACTTGTTCAAGGCGAGGATCGGGCCTTCGAGCCTTGTAACTCTTTTCAGTGCACAGCTCGCCAGACGGGCTGTCCTCTTAGCGTACTATGTAGACCGTTGTGTCATTGTGTGTTCTTTGTGTCGAAGCGCAATCGGTATTCCCGCCGTAGATCCCGAGTTGCCGGCCCCCAGTCTCGGTTCCCACTTGGGGCGGCAGCGGCTTGACGCAACATGACAGACTGACAGGACAGGCCAAGTGGGCCGTGGAGATCTGCCAAGCAAAGCAGCTGGCCGAGCCATTCATCATCCCGCAGAATGCCTCCGATTTGTCGATGATGCTATTCCCGAAGCATACCACAGCAACAAACAACCGCAATTGCCGTCCCTACGACTAAAAGAATCAACTACCGATCCCGCAACACACCACACCTACCTTTGGTTCCAGTGAGCCAGACGGCGACAGCCATGGCTCCCACACAGCTGCCCGAAAATGGCAACCCACTGTGAGTCCAACCACACTGCACAGCAGCACGCCGCAGAGAGGGCACACCGCATCACGCCATCAACCTACCTAGCTCCCCTCAGCCCCGGCCAAGTTGCGCATCTCCTCCACCTCCCGCCAATCTATCCGGCTTTCCCTGGGCAGCCCTGCAAGGCTGAGAACCCTAACCCCTCACCTCCTGCCTTCCTTGGACGAGGCTCCCACTTCCCTTCACTCAGCTCTGGCAAGGGCCACCCACCTGTCCAACACGATGCTAATACGCAAGCAGGGTCTTCTTTGACATCACACTAGGTGGTACGTGCCTGCTCACAACCCTCCTCACCTCCTTCCCCCCACGCAACGCGGTGCTGTGGCGCCCGCTTTGTGACCGGGCCGTGCTAGCACCCGAGTGGCATGTCACGCGGCGGGACTCCCGTGACTATCGGTTGTTGCTTGGCCGGGCCGGCCGGTGGTGGAGTACCTACTCCTCGGGGGATGCGGCCAAGATGGAGGAGGCATGGTCTGCGCATAGACTGGTCTTGCCAGTTGACGTCGGACTGTCGGTGGACGGCCTCGGTCCCTCCATCCCGCGCTTACAGCGTTACTTCTATGCGTCCCCCTCACCGCCCACAACGGCCCGGCATGGACCCTGTGTATGGGGAGGACGATTGTCAGATGAAGGGGAGGTGTTGCATTTTGGTTACTTTGCTGACCATACGGCTCCCACGCAGGAGAGCCTCTCGGCCGAATCACGTTCGAGTTGTTCAAGGATGTCGTGCCGCGCACAGCAGAGAACTTTCGCCAGCTCTGCACGGGCGAGTACAAGGTGAACAACAAGCCCCAGGGCTACAAGGGCTCGCGGTTCCACCGCATAGTAAGTCTTCCCTCATCTTCTGGTCGAGGGATTCAGATTGTGTGGCTGCCACGGGGAGGAGAACTCGAGCTGTTTTGCGAGCCACACTGCTCCACGGTCGAGAGCCATCCAGCCATCCAGCCAGCCCAGACTGACCAGCACAACACCCCCATAGATCCCCAAGTTCATGTGCCAGGGCGGCGACTTCCTGCACGGCGACGGCACGGGCTCGACTTGCATCTACGGCACCAAGAGCTTCGCCGACGAGAACTTCACCCTCAAGCACGAGCACGAGGGCCTGCTGAGCATGGCCAACGCGGGGCCAAACACCAACGGCTCGCAGTTCTTCGTCACCACCGTGCCCACCCCTTTTCTTGACGGCAAGCACGTCGTCTTCGGCAAGGTCGTCGACGGCATGGACGTCGTGCGCAAGATGGAGGCCACTAAGACCGGCCGCCGCGGCAGGGACGTGCCGGACCTGGACGTCCTCATCGCCCAGTGTGGCGAGATGTGAGAGGCTGCAGGGGCTTTTTTAGTCATTCGGAATCATAGCTTTCTGTTCAGGGGCGAAGATTTTCTTCTCCCCCACCTATTTCTCTCCCCTCGTCTTTTATCAAGCGTGGCGCGATCTGGTGATATGCCTGGGAACAAGACGAATCCCCTGTGAAAGACAAAGGGCTCATCTGGCTTCGTCAAGACCTTTGAAGCAGCACCCAGTACAGAGCCCACCGGGACCAAACCCCGGTGGCAAATTCAAATCACGCTGCCGTGATGTCCTCTTCACCGTTCCCAGACCCGGTGCTGTCGCTGCTCTCCAGGCTGACAGCCTGGTACTTCACGACCAGGTTCTCCAGGATTGCCGCGTTCAGGTCCTCGCCCATCTTGACCACGGGCAGGGGAAATCTCGACCGCGTATGTAGCGCCAGGTCCGCCTCGCTCCCTTCTCCCTCTCCATCTCCTCCCCCATCGCTGCTGCCACTACCACCACCGTCGCCTGACGAGATTACAAACCGCCCGAGGATGTCCGCCTCGGCGGCCTGCATACGGTCTCGCAGCAACCGGAAGAGCACCTTGCAGACGTGCAGGTGGCGGCCCTGGTCGTGCAGGCCCTTCATGGCGAGGATGAGCGTACTTCGCAGCACCTCGGGCCACCCGCGGCCCGCCGCGAGCCGAGCCCCGTCGCCGCCGCCCTCGAGCGCCCGCAGAGAGATGCTCGCCAGCAGCGCCAGGAAGTACGCCAGCGAGCTGTCGCACGCCTCGAACCCGTGCCGCATGTAGTACAGCCGCGCCACCGTCTCGAGGTGCCGCATCGCCGCGGGGCCCGCGCTCGACACGAGCGGCAAGCCGTCGCCGTCGTCTTCGTCGCTGTTTGGTGGCTCTAGGTCTGCCGAGGAGTGGATCTCGACCTGCTCCTCGATCACCGTCGTGGCCAGCGTGATGTGCATGGAGAAGTACTCGAGGCTGGGCTGGGGTGTTAGACTTTCTGTGAGCGACAGGTGAATAAAATTACTCGGCCTGGCCTCAACGGTATCGAGGCGCAGCAATAAATGAGCGCATGGGAAAGGGGGGGAAGGGAGGCGAGAAAAGGTATTTCAGCATACTGAAGTCTCAGGTGGCTCGGGAAGACGGCCTTCTTGGGCTCCAGGGGCCCGGGCAGGCTCGCGTACCAGTCCCGGAGCCGCGACTGTACCTCCCGCGCCCTCTGCTGCGGCAGGCCCGTCACCGTCTGCGGGTGGTGATCCCGGAAGGCCTCGTGCGCGACCTGGTTCATGATCACGCGGAGGCCACACATCGCCCGGAACGTGTGCGGCCAGTGCATCGGCGTCGGGGCCGTGCTGGGCGGGTACACGAGCGCAAGCTCGCCGTACCAGCCCGGGTTCTCGTCCGGGTCCGGCAGGCTCACCTCGGGGGGCTCGCCCAGCCACGCCCGCCGCATGAAGTAGTAGCCTGCGGACCTTGTAGCGTCGCCCACTCCACCGTCAGCGAAGCTGGTCCCCGAATTCTGCTAGTGATCGGTCGGTGAGGCTTGTGAGGTCCGCCTCCGTCCTGGGCTGACTCACGTTTGGAAGTTGAAGAATGCCCATGCCGTGAACTCGCGCGCCCGCTGTGTCCTGTTGTTCTTGAGGGCTGGTGTGGGCGTAAAGAGGCTCATTTTCCTAGCCATCGACACGGCGTGCCGGATGAAGATATCGCCAATTTTATCTAGAGGAGGACGTAATTCAGCTGGCCAACGCGCCCAGTAGCTATCTGCGTCGAGAGTCCCGCAGATGTGTAGGGCTTGAAGGGGAAACACGGAAGAGCTGCGCACATGGCCTTTGCACTCACCCATGCCGTGGCTGTTGTATGCCAGACTCAGTAGTATCGTCGCTTGGAACGTGGTCAACTTCGCGTTCTCGAGATCCTCCAACTCCCAGAGCCGCCTTGCCTCCACCAGGAATCTGTAGCCGATGTTCTGAGGGTTCCACAGCTGTGACCGGAAGGCGTTGCTGCGGTGGCAGTGCTACCAGGTTGATTCAAATCAGTCCAAGAACGTCGGGCAGAAGGGGTAAGAATTGTGTGAGGTACGTACGCTCCCTATCGCCAAGACCGAGTTCACGAGCAGCGGTGAGCATAAGTGGCCTTTCCCACGAGCCAGGTCATACAGGAAGTAGTCTTTCTGGAATGCAGGGGCCACGCAGTACTCGTGAATGAGGTACGCGCGCAGAAGGCGCCTGAACAGGTTGTCGTCGGTCGTCACCGAGGTCCAGTCGGACGCCTTGGCGGACGCCAGCCGGCCATCCATGAGCTCCGCAGCGTGGTACGGCTTCATGTAGACATGGCTGTGATTCCCTGCCAGGGCTGCCTCGGCGGCAGACGACGGCTGCTGCTGGGACGGAGGCTGGCCAAAGCCCTGCGCGGCGCCCTCGTACAGCAAGGACTCCAAGTACGGATTGTCAGAAGTCTGCAGGGCGGCAGGCATGAAGGGGAGGTATGGGAACTGGTACCGGAATCGCGACTCTGGCCTTAAGGCGAGCTGCAGGAGCAGGTCGCCCTCCTGGACCCGGCGGACAGTGGTCTCGACGTCGGTGCCGGCCCGCAGGCGCTGCAGGATGTCGAGGGCCTCCGCCTCGCTCACCGTGACGAGGAGCCGGTACAGCTCCCTGTAGATCAGGTTCTCGTGCTGCGACTCGTCGTGCTTGCGCTTGAGCGCCTGTACCTGGGTCTCGGCGTGTTCGGCGAGGTAGACGCACTCCAAGCCTCGCGCCAGGCAGCGCGAGCAGGCCGGGCGCTCGCCTGAACACCTGCACGCAGACAATCTCGTGTGAGTAGCGATGAACGACCTGCATGGATATCTGCTTCTGCGTGTTGCTCAGGGCTTGCATACTTGACCTTGGACTTGCGGCACGTCTCACACGCTGCCTTTATGTTCTTCCTGCCCGGCGGCAGCTGCTGTTGTTGTTGTTGTTGTGTGCCTGGCGAGCCACCGCCGGGATCCTCACCCTCAGGGGAAACAGCCGTTGGTGGTGGTTTCGGAAGGATCGGTCGTTGTGATGCAGGCATAGCTATGGCTGCCTTGGTAATGGTGGTTGCTCACAGAGGCTGGTGAATGGTTGAGGTGGACTGATATCTTTAGGCTATCACTACATCTGAATGATAGGTACCAACTTTGAAGAGTATTAAGGTGCGGAGCATACTCTCATTTGCAATCAATCGTATCGTTTTGGCGCTAGTGAGCTGCACAACACACACCACACCCTTTTTCCTCCTTACTTCGTTTTTCAACTATTTTCACCTTTTATATAATAAATATACCCTTAATCTAAATATACCCTATATTAAAAAATAATTATTTCTTTTTTAATTTTTTTAATATTTATTTAAGGAGGGTAAAGGAATTATTTAAGGTATAAAATATATTAATATTTAATTTTAAAGATAAATTTAAAATTTTAAAGGGGAGGTGTTTTTAAGTAGATTTAAGTATAATTACCCCTTATTTATAATAATTTTAACGTAATTCTTAAATTTTATTATTTTTTATTACTTTTTTAAATTTAACTTTAACTTAAGTTATTTTTAATCTTAATTTAAATATACCTTATACCTTTAATACTTTTTTTTTTCTTTTTAAATTTATATTAAAAGAATTAAAAAAAAAGCAGCTTTCTTTTAATATAAATAATTATTAAATTAAAGCTATATTAAGAAACTTAAATGATGTTAAACTTAAATGAAGTGCGATTAAAAAAGGGTGTGGTGTGTGTTGTGCAGCTCACTAGCGCCAAAACGATACGATTGATTGCAAATGAGAGTATCAACCAAGACGCCCTGGAGCAATACGATTTGGCAGGTGCACCTTCGCCAGAACCCTGGGATGATCTTGTCCTGTTGCACAATATCCTGCCAGGTCCCCGGAATTAATTCCGACCAATGTCCATCCAGCTTCCACGTTGGTGACCTCATGTCGACATCATCCTTCTGGCACGAGGCAAATAAAAGCAACGGGGTTGGAAATTTCAAATATTCTCTCAAACTTAGTTTCGTCGACATTATGACAGATGACCTTGCTGTTGTGCCACTTGTGTTGTGCCCATGGCTGGCTTGGCAATCACCTCTCCCTCGCCATTGGGGGCCTCTCTCGATCTTGCCCCCGAGAATCAAGTTTCCGCTCGCAAAGATGCTTGAATGATGTGGGTTGCACGTTGAAATTCAGCGGATTTTGACGCTTCAGACGCGGAAATCGAAATAAAGGCCCTGCCCGGATCGCCCCGACGCCATTCAGTGTTGCTCGATGGGTAGCACTGAGTATCTGCCGGAAGTGTGCCTACCCGGTCTACAACAAGCCGCAAGCACGTCTTCGGCGACGAAGGTCGAGGTCAAACTGGAACATGACGCAGAGACACGGTCATTATGAACATTTTGTTACGAATGATATCGCATGACGCGAGTGTCCAACATTTATGATGAAGACGTAAGACCCGAAACCATGTTGCACATGTGTACACATATGAGTCCTTTACAACGAGTCTCAGACTCGATGTTCTTGCTAAATTTGAAGTCCTGACTTGATCCTCGAGCTGATTTTAGGCTAGTAATCACCACCCACGGCCTTGTGTCTAATACCTCCAGACCAGTTCAAATGCAAGAGTCGAGACCCCTCTCGATAGAACCCTTTCTGCACCCAGGATCTTGTATACCATCCAAGAGTTGATGGCGGACATGGAGGTGAAGAGTGGATTTGAATCACCCGCTTAAGCTCGATGTACTTGAGACAGTCGACCGGTCTAGACCTGGGACGTTGACAATAGTCACTGATTCGCACGGTAAACATATCAAGCTTGAATATGTATCGAAATTCAGTCAATCTATGAGTGGTCCACATCTTCTGACATTGCATTGGCAGCTTGAGTTGCAAATAATCAAAGTGTTCTTAGTAGTTGGTCTACTCAAGCGAACATTAGGTAAGAGGTCCCTCGACTACCTTGGTAGGCTGCACACAATTCAGTCAACACCCTGCATGCCGAGGTTGTGCAGCTCTTGTATTGCCCTGCAGTACCAAGTTTACATTCTCTTGAATTACCACTGATCGGACATCATTTACCACAAGATGAATTCGGCATTGCACCGTTAGTAGAGAAGCGAGAAGTGTGCAGCTCGAAATGTCAATTCCCGGGTGTCATCGTCGTAATTAATGCATTGTGGTCCTTCAAATTACAAAGGACACGGAACTTATGAACAACGTCAAAAGGTTTTCACGTAGAATCAGCCATCAAATTCAAAATGCGCAGTACACAGAACGCAGACCCTGTCCCAAATTTGTTGCACTAGGTCGAATCTGAGGGGGGGGGGGTTACCGGAGTGGCGAGATCACAAGGGTTAGGATAATGGGCCCACGGTGTCGCGTCGTTCGTTCTGCTTATTTACGACCGCGATTAACAACTGTAATTCCAAGCCAGGAAATATCCCAAGGGCGGCGCACCCCAGCAACCCAGGCCATGTCGCTGAGCTCAGAGGAGGAGGAAGAGGACCCGTTCCTCTCCGACGGGGAGGACGGCAACGAGAACGACCTCCCCAGCGACCTTGAGGACGATCTCGACGACGAGGACCCCTTCGGCCCCGCGCAGCAGCAGCAGCCGCCGCCGACGCAGTCGCAAATGCTCTCCTTCGGCCCGCCCTACTACGGCCGGCCCCCGACCCCGCTGCCGCCCTCGCCGTCCCTGACGTCGCTCCTGCGGCCGTCGCGCCCGACCACACCGGACGCCAGCGACGACGAGGGCCTCAACAGCGCCGAGCCGGTGCCGCGCGCCTCGCCCAAGGTGCCCACCTACGAGTACTACGGCTTCGTGCTGTACCTCTTCTCGTCGCTCGTCTTCCTCATCTACCTGCTGTGGTCCTACCTGCCCTCGCCCTTCCTGCACGTCCTGGGCATCTACTACTACCCGAACCGCTGGTGGAGCCTGGCCATCCCCTCGTTCCTGGTCATGCTGCTCGTCTACATCTTCGTCGCCCTCGCCCTCTACAACACCGAGTACCTGACGCTGCCGCTCAACAACCTCGAGACGATCGTCGATGACGCGGGCAAGATAGCCGTCGTCGACGGGAAGGGCCGCATCGTCACCAGCGAGGAAAGGAGGAGGAACCTGGAGCGGGAGCGCGAGAGGGAGGGCCAGCGGGGCAGGGCGCACCAGAGGAAGACGAGCTGGAACGGATACCCCTTCTCCAGGGACAGGGAGGTCGACTGGCGGGAGTGCTGGAACGAAGGGACGGACGCCGTGATGGACGTGCCGCTGGCGGGCGTGTGCGAGATCCTCTACGGCGGTGCCAGAGGCGAGGACGACTACATTTTCAATGCAAATTGACATAGATGTACGAGTCCTGTCAATTCGAAATCTTTGTAACATCCAATGCGATGATTGCGTCGGGTCACGATACCTTGTCAGAGCAGGCACCTGCAGCACCCTCAATGCAGTCAGTCATCGCGAACCGACACGTATCGTATGTCCGGTGTTGTTTACGCAGTGGGTCACGTTTCATGACCAGTTGAGAATCCTCGCAACTGCTCTGCCACCTCGCTTTCACGCGGGTCCTGGCTCGTACTGCACTGAGGAGCTGCCAGTTTTTCTGCCTTGGGCATTGCAGCCAGGACTTGGATAAGTCTACCGTACCAATTCCTGGTCTCTCCACTTGACATGGCAGCTGGAGGGCGACAACGGCACAGATATCGAGGGGGGTGTAGGAACACACGTACCGTGGCATGCAAGTACAGCAAGGGCGTGCGATGCCCACGGCAGCAGTGCCCTCTCTGGTGACTCGACCATCAACTGGTGAACATGGTGTATTACATACACTACATTGCACTATCTTCAATCCGGCAAAACCGCCCCTCAGTATCTCCACACATCGAAGTGACTGGAAGCAGGTCACAATGAAGACTCGCATTATACCGAGATATCACTGCTTTAATAAAAGTTCACTGCATGTCTCCCGGGCTCTCAGAATGGAACATGAGGGTGTGTCAGGTCTCTCTCATCTGGACGGGCAGGCTTCTCTGTGGCAATTTACCCAGCAACTTGAAAACGAGAGGAAATACAGCGTGACAGGCTGGTGTACGCCCCCTGAGCCTCAGTTGACATCGAACAAAGCCTGGACGAACGCCAGTGAGAGTCCTCAGAAGCGGGATTAACCGCTTTGGTGTTCGGAAAAAGCTTCCAAGGAACCAAGGATAGCGGAGGGGATTGCTTGGGCGGCAGAGATGACGCGGGGATAATTGCTTTGTTCTCCTGGAAGGGCATTTTGGACCCGCGACGAAGTCACCATGACCAGTGAGACCACTGCTCCTCACATATGGGGAAATGCGATTATCCACAGTCTTACCCCAGACTTTCCCCAGACTGTCAACCCGCAACAAAACCCGGTATCCACAGCCAGCATCCCTGGCGATGTCTGCCTTTAGGCCTAGGTGGGCTTCGGCGAGAGGGCACAGTTCTGGGCTGAATCGTAAAGAATACCCGCCTCGGATAGGCATTGGCCTGTAGAAAAACGCGCATTAATGTTCACTGAATGTTCTATAAGAGGAGCTCGTGGGGCCCTCAACGCTCAGTGATGTCTGTCGATATTTTTGTGCTCATCACGAAAGCTTACTTGCGCTGGTCTTGCCCGCTGTAAAGATATTGTACCCATATCCCGCCACTTCAATATCCTTTCACACCGTCCAGCTATTGTGGCCATGGAGTCCCGTGAAGTGGATGCGAAGCACCCGGAAGATGTCAAGGATCTTGAGGAGTACGAAGGCGAGGTGTCACACATCGACAAAGTCGACAAGATTGATAGAATAGCCAACTACGACGACTCCATCGAGAGCACCAAGGTATCCACAGCCGTCTGGCTCATAACCTTCACCGTAGCGACGGGCGGGTTCCTCTTTAGTCAGTCGTCTTTTGTCGAGGTGTTTCGGGCAGTTCACTAAATTCAGGACATACCAGGCTATGACACGGGTGTCATCTCGGCCGTATTGGTCACACTCAAAAGCGACCTGGGCCACGAACTCTCCTCGAGCGAGCAAGAAATGATCAACTCCCTTACATCAGGCGGTGCCTTGGTCGGCGCCCTGATCGCAGGTCTTCCGGCAGACAAATACGGACGCAAGTTCGGTATATATGCCGGCTGTGCCCTGTTCCTGATCGGCTCAGTGATCCAGGCCGCCGCCTTCTCTGTCGCGCAGACGGCGGTCGGACGGTTCGTTGTCGGTCTCGGAGTCGGCTCTGCGGCAATGATCATTGTGAGTTCTGCCCGTGTCGTGCGTCTGACACTCCCGCACGGAGCTAACGTGTTCTTGTTCCAGCCTCTATACATTGGCGAGCTCGCACCAGCGCCGCACCGCGGGCGGATGATAGCTCTCGACAACCTCAGCGTGACCCTCGGCCAGCTCATCTCGTACGCCCTGGGCGCGGCCTTCACCGAAGTCCCCCACGGCTGGCGATACATGGTAGCTGCGGGTGGAATACCTCCCATAATCCTGGCCTTCCTCCTCCCCAAATGTCCCGAGTCGCCCCGGCAGTTGCTCGCACATGACAAGGTGGCAGAGGCTACGGAGTGTATCGCACGCATCTACCCCGAGGCGACAGAAGAGCAGGTGAGATCCAAGGTGGAGTACATGGCCTGGACGATCCAGGTCGAGGCACAAGCCGTCGGGGACAAGTCGCTCTGGTGGCAGTTCAAACAGCTGCACTACGTGCCATCAAACCTCAGGGCGTTGATTACTGCCTGTGCGGTCATGGCAAGTGAGTATCACCATACTCCCTCCGTGACTCGAGCGTGCCAGTCTAACACTCTCTTTAGTCTCTCAACTCGGCGGTCTCAACACTTTGATGTACTACTCCGCAACACTCTTTTCCCTCGTTGGTTTCAAGAAGGCCACCGCAGTGTCTATCGTCGTCGGTGGCACAAACTTCACATTCACGCTGGTCAATATGCTGTTCATCGACCGACTGGGGAGGCGCAAGATCCTTCTCATCACGGTAATGGGCATGGCATTGAGCATGGTCGTTGCCGCCATTGCATTCCACTGGATTCCTATCTCTCGCGATCTGGTCCTCGAGTCAGACACAGTGAACTGGGCCGGCATCCTGATTCTCGTCACTATAATTTTCTACGTCGCCTTCTTCGCCAGCGGCGTTGCTACCATCGGCTGGGTGGGCACGGAGCTCCTGCCGATCGAGGTTCGTGCCCTGGGGACGATGATGAATACTGTCACCTGCTGGGGCTGCAAGATCATCATTGCGTCGACGTTCCTGTCCATGATGAAGGCCTGGACTCCCAGCGGTGCCTTCGGATTCTACGCCGCGATCTGTTTCTTCGGCTGGGTCTTTGTCGTTTTCCTGTACCCGGAGGTTAAGGGTCTCCCGTTGGAGGATGTTAGGCAGATATTTGAACATGACTTTGGTGTCAAGGTGGCAGCAAGGTTGCAGAAGGAGCAGAAGGCTAAGCGTCAGGCTGGTATAGCATAGATGTTCTACAATACGATGCCCTATTATGTTCCTCGGGCTCCATGATTTCGATTTAGCTGATACTTCGATTCGTAGGACCCAAAAATCTGCCCTTCTCATACAGTTACGTCAATTGTGAATAGCTGAGGTGTCTGGGTTGAACGGAGGCGGTATTGCAACAGTTGGCACTTGGTTAAGCGGACTTTCTATTAATTCAATCGAATTTAAAGCAAAGCCAATGCGATTATAGCAATGGTTAATCTATATACCGGAAAGACTCTGGCCCAATCGAGGTGTGAGGAGCTATCAACGGAGCTCTTTGCAGCCTGGGTCGTACGCGCAGGAGCACCTTCTGCAGCAGAAGTCGAAGTGGGCGTGGTAGAGCCACCGTAATGATTCTCCGAAACTACTGCTACATCGACCGAAGTGTCTCGATAGACAGCGACATCTTTAACCGTGAAATGTGAATTCACAAAATCTCCGGGGTTCTTTGCCACGTAGGATGTGCACGAATCGTACCCAGTCGACGCCGCACACTGCCCCCAATGGTTCTTGGTGTAGGGCTGGCTGGGTTCCATCCTGGCCAGCCACGCCGCAGAAGCCGATGTTCAGCACAATTCTCTGGTCCAATACAATCTCTCGCCCCTGCGAAGTTTGGTCTATAGGATACCAGCAGTAACAGGAGTCTAGCCTACCTTACTTATTTATCATACATCCACCCATCTATTCCAGCCTCACACAGCAATCCTAGTCTGCACTACTAAAACAAAAATAGTATATGACTACTAGCCCAGGTATACTTAAAGTAGGAAACGGACGAGGTAACGAGACGGAGCAGAGGAACGGGTTATAATATAAATATATAAAAACGTATGGGCGGTTATAAAGGCCATCCTTAGTGTAGTCTTCACGCATGTGCAAAGCTTTAGTTAGTGCCAGGCATGGAAATGGCAGCTCCACTTATCGTGCAGCAAGGCTAGTCATTGAGCCCCCGACTTTATTGTTGGACATGATCCCCTGCTTGAGAGCGGGGACCTTCACAGTTGGCGTCATGAAAATTGACCCCAGCATCGACAAAAAAGCTTGTCTCTCCAAGCTTCGACCTTCCCGAAGCGATCTAAAGCTTCCCTTTTTGACCGCTGCGACTGTGATTCATTGGCTTCCTCGTATCGTCAAATGTTGTGTCTTTCCAAAAGTGCCGGGATGCGCAACCTCACCGCGACTCATTATCGCGGAGAGGTCCATTGATGTTCTCGTCTTATCGGTAATCTTCTGCCGGCAAAGCTGTAGACGTAAGACGTTGACAAATGAGGGTGCTAGCGTTGGGGCTCCAAGTCTTTATGTACCTAGGTATTCTACATGGTAGTACAAATTATCTCCGCGTCCAACATCGAGCTTCATTTATTAGATCCCTCTGTGGTTTGTGAACTATCTGTCATATACCCCTGTCTCATTGCAAAGGGGCCTTACAACGGTCATGGCGTCAATCTTCAACGTGAAGTTGGTGTCGCTCACCACCTTGTTATCAGTATCTGGCAGATCGATTGCGCAATTCGTCGCGCCACCAGCCGATCTCGTTTCGAAGACTGGTTATGCAGACATACCGGTCCGCTACAAGGAAGTCCCAGTCGGGACATGTGAGTTGGACCCCAATGTGAAGAGCTATTCCGGGTATGCGGACGTTGGCGCAGACGAACACATATTCTGGTGGTTCTTTGAAGCCCGCAATCAGGACCCATCCGAGGCCGACCTGACCGTTTGGATCAATGGCGGCCCGGGCTCGTCTTCCATGATCGGGCTGTTCCAGGAAAATGGCCCCTGCAGAGTTGACGCTGACGGGAGTGTGGTTGACAACCCCTATTCCTGGTCGAATGTATCGAACATGCTTTTCATTGATCAGCCCGTCGGCACCGGGTTCTCCTACGGCAAAGCGGTCCCAGCTTGCCAGAGCGCCTCCGGCAACCTCATTCAGCTGCCAGATGCCACATGCCCTGAATACGCCGAAGGCACTGGTACTTGCGGTACATGGTCAGCAGCGAACGAGACCCTGACTGCGAACAGCACGGCAAATGCTGCTCCAAATTTCTGGAAGACCCTTCAAGGCTTCATGGGCGCATTCCCGCAGTACTCACGCGGCGACTTCAACTTCGCAACTGAGAGTTACGGCGGCCACTACGGTCCGGTTTTCAACACATATATCGAGCAACAGAATGAGCTCATCAGGAAAAATAGCTCATCCGGGCATGAGATCAGCCTCAAGGCTGTTCTCATTGGCAATGGGTGGTTTGACCCTCTTATTCAATATGCCGCATACTACAACTTTACGGTCTCTCCGGGCAACACATACGATTACTTCCCATTCAACAACTCGATCAGTGATATGATGTATAATGCCATGTATGGCAAAGGCAACTGCTTCGACCAGACCGTCGAGTGCAACACCAATGGAGTTGATGAGATTTGCACGGCGGCAGACAATTTCTGCTACCAAGAGGTCGAATCTGTCCTGGACATCTACGCTAACCGCGACGAGTACGATATCCGCGAGCTTCAGCCCGACCCCTTCCCGCCCACCTTCTACGTGGACTACCTCAACAGCGGCGCATTTCAATCGGCAGTCGGTGCATACGTCAATTTCTCAGAGAGCAGTAGCGTCGTTGGGAGTGCCTTTGGCTCCACGGGTGACGACGACCGTGTTGATGGCACAGTGGAGGCTATGTCTGCGTTGATCGCACAAAATTTGACGGTAGTGATGTTCTTTGGAGATGCCGATTACAACTGTAACTGGCTTGGCGGAGAAGTGGTTGCGGAAGAAATCAACGCTCCCGATTGGAACAGCGCAGGATTTGTCAACATCAGCACCGTGGACAAGATTGTTCATGGACAAGTGAAGCAGTCTGGTGCTTTCAGCTTTGTCAGGATCTATGAGTCAGGCCATGAGGTGCCATTCTACCAGCCGGAGGTGGCTCTGGCGATGTTTGAGCGTGCTATCAGCGCCAAAGATATCGCAACTGGCCTGGCTGATGTGGTGCCTGGGGCGGTTTATACCACCAATGGTACACACAAAAGCACATATCGGGAGGGGAATTCCACGGTGCAATATGTCGTCATTCCAAACTCAGCGACATACAACACTTCTCTGAATGCGCCGAATCCCACCCATAAGAAGGAGCTGAGAAGAAGGAAATATTCGCCCTAAAGACAAGCTTTGGCAAGGAATATGTCAGAAGAAGCAAGCAGTGACAACACTTATTAATGAATGTTTCATTGAGTTAATGAACATTGACACGCATGGATATAAAGTATGTGGCCTCGGAAAATATATCCAAGGCACATTTTCTTTGATCTTCGCAGCCGCCGAGCCCTTCTCGGTTGCCGAGGTCACCACGGCGCTGCATATGATGATTTGCAAGGCGGAGATCATGGCGGTGTTTATCTGAGCGCAGTTGATGGTACGGACAACTGGATCAAAGACAACTCGGGTTTCTTGGCTACGGTTTCGCGGGAAGTAGAAGAGGACGGTAAAGTGCATTTCGATCCACCAGACGGCCAGGGAGTTTTTTTTCCAGCAAGCCCGACGCACGGAACCTAGAGGCGGCTGGAGTACATGGCGGAGGTAGCAACACTTCACCATCGCCGTTCAAGTGGCTCACGACTGGGAAGGACGTTCATGCCACCATCTTGAATGCATGTGGAAGGGGCCTCTAGTACAAGACTTCGCAATGGAAAAAAATGGAAAGGATGAGCGCCGCAATGGCGATTTGGACGACTCAGGGGCCCTGCTCATTAAGGACTTCACATTGGACACTGATCTGCAACAGGGCTTATTGGGCTACGCACGGAGGTCATATGCCTTTCAATTCAACAAGGTTGGTGATTAAAGGCGATGCTGTCGGACAGAGTCTTGAATGGGTGATAGCAGCTTGGTCACAAGAAAAGTCGTATCTGCATATGGGTTTGCTGCGCCTAAATAGACTTGCTTTTTTGAACCTGTCCTGTGGTGAACACTATCTTCCCCTGCTTCCTGCGTACAATGGACCATTTTTCAGCATAATCGATTCTATTAGAGCAGCCAAAACCCCAAGCCCGAGGGCTAGACCATCAATGGTCGGGGTACAAACAAGCCTTATTATCAATCAGAAGTCGGACTGAGATACCAATATCATGTTGCTCAATTATATATGATGTACCCTATGGAAAAATCATAGCCTTGGGCAAGTTGACCGTCTTTGCTCACTGTCCTCTGTCATCATTTATATTCGATTTGCTTCGATCCTACCAGGTTAAATGAATAAAGGCGTTTCTCTTTCGATTCAAGCTGTCGATTCATTCTTCATTCGGACAGTGGATACATTTTGCAACAGTTCCCACTACTACGTCTACTTTGTTACGCTGCGGGCATCCTCAACCTCCATAGCGCCAGCCTTCTCATCTTCAAGCTGATCCTCTGTGTCTTTTGGAGGGTGATTCGGAGATCTCACACCAGGTGCACCAAAGAGCGCATCCATCTCTTCGATGGGGACACCCTTTGTTTCACGAATGCACCACCAAGCCCAGACTCCCATGCAGACCATGAGGGCGCCGAAGAAGAAGTAAGCTGTTGCAACCAATCAGCAAGATGTTCCACAAGTCCACTGCCCAAACCAAGGGGCACTTACTGCCATACCCGATATCTGAGATCATGTAAGGCGTAGAACGAGAAACAACATAAGACCAGAGACGCTCGTCGGCGATAGTGAGCGCCATACAAAGCGAGCGGATGTAGAGAGGGTAGATCTCAGAAGCGTAGAGCCATGTGATACCCTGCCAAGTGGCACAGTAAATGACACCGTAGAGGTAGACACAGACAATGGCTAGATATCCCCAGCCCGACATCTGAGTTTACCCCCGCCTCTGCTGCTGCCTCAGGGTCGTTCTTCATGACGTAGCCGCCAAGGTAGAGCTGCATAGTGTTAGCATAGTGGAAGAAGGATAACTGGATAGAGAGTAGTACCATTGGTACGCAGCCCAGAGCAGAGCCCCAGAGCAGGCCCTTGCGTCTACCGAGATGGTCCGCAACATAAAAGGAAAAAATGATCATGCCGAGGGTCTTGGCGACACCATAGAACCCAGTCGCAAAAAGCTTGAGATCGGTGCTAGCAATTCCAAGAGTAGCAAATATCCTGGGAGAGTAATAAGTGATAATGTTGACGCCGGTCATATTCTGACACCTATTCAGCAGTTAGTAAAATGGGCCTGGTAGAGGCTTGAGGCTGGAGGCACCATACATCATCAAGCACAAGCCAATGCCAATGCGGTTGCGAATACCCTTCTTGAACAACTCCTTGAACTGGAGCCAAGTTCCGGGGTTCAGTCCGGCAATATGCGCCTCAAACTCGACCTCGGCACGGATTTCACTCATCTCATTCATGACATAAGGGTGGCTGGAGGGGAGCTGGCGAAGATCGCAAATAATTTTCTCGGTTTTCTCCCAGCAGTCCTTCTTAGCCAGCCACCGTGGTGATTCTGGGCAGAAAGGTACGACTGCAAGTACGAAGACGGCGGGAAATAGTTGAAGGCCAAGAGGAACCTGCCATTGAGCCGGGGCTGAGAAAGGTCAGTCACGTCCGTCAGCATCTTGGGATTCTCTGACATGACCAACTTACTGCTGGAGCTTATAGTTTTGTTGACAGCATAGTTGACCCAGAAGCCACACATCTGTGCGCCCTGTGAGCCTATTTCGTAGAACCCAACTAACCGCCCACGAATGGAGGGCGGGGCGACCTCGGCAATATAGCTGACGCGACAAGAATCAGGCACGATTGTTTCCATCAACGAGGAAGACAAGAGAAACAGTATGACTTACACGGGAATGACAGGTGCGGTTCCACCGATGCCGATACCCGCAATTGCTCTCCCAGCCATGATCAAGCCGACAAGTCCATGCGAAGCAGTCTGCATGGAGGCGCCGCACATGAAGACGATTGTAGCATAGAATATACATCTCTTTCGGCCAAAACGCTCCGAGAAGAAATGAGATCCCAGTGCGCCGAAAAACATTCCTGCTTGGAAACAGGATACGATGTTGGAAGTAAGGTCATCGAGTTCTTTCTGGCTCTTGTTCAGGAGGCCAAAGTCGCGTTCGAAGGAGGGAAGGATCAATGTTCCACCCATGACAGAGACATCGTAGCCTTAGCCACAGTCAGCCTACACTCTGCAAATTGAATAGAAGATTTAGACCAGAATAATCGACTCACCAAGAGCAAGAGCACCGAAACAGACCCCGATACAGTAGATGTTCACCTTCCAGTTTCTGACCTCTGGCGGTTCCGGAACCCGCACCGCTTCCTCGGAAATTGAGGGTGATTTCGAGTGCCCCATGATGACTCCAGAGAAGGCTTGAGAGAGATCAAAGACAAGGCACTGCAATGAGTATTATATTTGAATTCTGCGCCGCAAGAAAGACCTATGAAGATACAGCCTCACTCTGATCTGTAGTACATTCTCGCCGCAAGGTACAAAGCGAACACTCAACGCAGGCGAAACGCCAGCGACGGAGGCCTTGATGCCTGCCTTATACAGACACGAGTAGATCGCCATCCTTCGCGCCATCTCCTCTCTCAACCACTGCCGGCCACGAATCTGGGACGTTGATCGAGTAACGGCCAAGGCTCTACCAAGCTCGACACCAAGAGGCTAACTAGGTGTTATGCGTATCACAACACTCTTCCCCGCGGGGTCGAACCGAGAAGCTTCCAAAGGAGAAGGAGGGTGGTAGCAATGCGGGTGGGCCAACGCCAGACGCGTGACCGGGGAGACAGAGTCAGGGAGGCGGAACGCTTGGTGCGGTCCGGAAACACAAACAGTGGTAAGCATGAGGAGCGCCGAGCTGGCGAACTTGGCGAGCCTGTCCCTCCTCCCCCAAACCTCGAACGCCCAGACGGGTGGACCTCTCGGGTTGGTTAGATTATCCGTCGTGGGCGCTATCCCCGCACGGCATGTAAATTATCTGATTTGACTACAGTCGTTCGCAGAATCTCCGTCTATTGAGTTTGCTGGGAGATCGCCTGGGCGAATATGAGACGGAGCGGTGGAGGCACACCTGATGTCGAGCGAGTGCTTCTAGTTCTGTGTCTAACGACATCGTGATGCTCTCATTGTGGCTGTGTAATGTGATTAATGTAACTGCATGTCGGTAATTCTAATAAGAAAGACCGAGAAGGGGGAGCAATGTTGTTTTGCTGTGCTCATGTTCACGATGGTTCACTGTACTTGAGGGATTTATGAGCAACCCGTATCCATGTCTCGCAACTCCTCAAAAGATGCCTTGGCTTTTCGGAGGAGGAAATGACGATCCCATCGTGTGACAATTAGAACACTATTACTTGGTGTCTTTATGGGAAACGAATGCTGCGAGGTCCTGACGAGAAAGAAAACAGCGCAAAAGAAGTCCGGTTAGCAGCAAAAAAGGACTGCCCTCAAAAGCCAATCATCTTGGCACATATCCGTCCTCTCATTACACAGTATCATCGGATGCACGGCCCGGGGGCTTTTTGCATTCAGCATGTGCAAGTTGCTGACAGTGCATTCACGACTTCCCCGTCTTTGCCGTCATAATGCTTCTAGAGAGAAGCAGACAGACTCGAGTCCCCAATTTCTCCATGGGGTCACGAGGCTCATTGGCTTGAAGATCATTACGAGGTCTCCGTACATCAATTGCCTGTCTTGCAGGTCACAGACAGGCAACGCATCGCATAGAGGCGGATTTGACCCATGGTGGGAGCGTTGGCCATGTTGATGAAGGCCCTCCCGAGAATCGTAGGAAGACTGTGAGCAGCGGCCCCGAGCGAGGAAGGATCCCGACATCCGTTCGTATTCTCATCAGTCATCCCGTCCCCGAGCTATAGGCTTTAACCAGCAATGTAGATGGATGTTCAAGGTGTTGATACGTGAAAGCGCGCCGACCCAAATAAGGTCATATTTCTCTCACTGGATTCCGTCGGTTGGATCCTGTAGAGTCAATCAAGCCACCAGTGCTACCCTTACCCAGGCTGCCTTGTCTCATCTGTCCACCTCGGTCTGTTAGACATCACGACCATTCCCCCTTGGGAGGCCGATTATATGCTGTGCCTCACTACCTTGTAAAACCCGTATTCAATGCTGCAGTCATCTTCCATCTCACGTACATTAAGACTTCCTCTGCAATCCTTCTCTGGCTTGGCACAGGTGACACTGAGCCGAATAGCTGGAGCCGGATAAATCAATAAGGCTCTTTACCGGTCAGAAACATGAAGCCCATTGGGACTTTTGTTGAGACCCGCATAAAGGACAACAGTATATATAGGCAAAGTAGATCTGTTCGCAGCCTGCAACCAGTTTCCCACAGCATGCCCACCAGGTTGATCTATTCTCCTCAATCAAGCTTGACATACCTTTGACTTTTCACCAGCCGCATCTGTTCATTCAGGCATCATCATCATGCAGTCCTCCAAGTCACTTGCCGTCCTGCTCCTGAGGTATGACCAGACACTGGGCGCTCGTTAACCCTTTTCGCGGAAACAGGTCGCTGACGTTTCTCACGGCAGCTCCATTGTCGCAGCTTTGCCCCAGGAACAAGGCAACCCACCACAAGTCACCCTGACCACCATAACAATCGGTCTGCCTTCGTCCTGTACCTTGAGGCCTACGCAGACCATCACCGCCACGACCGGCTGCCCGACACCTTGCAGCACTTACGCTGATAATTGCTGGTGGGACTGTCAGTTTCCCCTTATCCGTACACTTCTTTTTGTGGAGGCCCTCGGGAGAATTCTCGACTAATTTGATATAGATGGTGTTGAGCTGGAGTGCGGTTGCCCGAGAATGACAGTTGAGCCGGTCACTGAGACGGTCTGTCCCACGGTGACAAGCTGTGTGCAATGCACGGTAAGTGGATATCTCTGCGCCACTATTGATGGACTTTGCGCAATCTAGGGTTGGCCCGCTGACTGCTCTTCTCAGACGGGGTGGGGCGTAACTACCATAACGCCCACTACCTGCCCGACTCCGACTCCCACGCCTCTCTGATTTTAGAGCAATTTACAGCACTGTTACTCAAATCGGTTTCAAGGCTTCACTTGAACTGGAACAAAGTGAGAGAAGAGAAAGAAAAGAAAGAGAGGGGCAAAAAGAGAAAAGAACAAAAGGAGCCGGAACGTCTCTGGCTTTTACAGTGACTGCTCAACTTTGTCAGGCACAACGGCACAAAAGTATCGAGCATTTTTTGGTCCGCAAGGATGAAGGAGTTGAATGGACCAAGAACTGCAGTGAAGGAGCAGCCAACGTCTACATGTGGGCCGTTCGTTGGCGGGCAAGCCTGGGCCACGGTCCGAGACCAGATCGACGAATTCCACCCCACCCCCCCTTTAAAATGAGAACGATCCTAAGCAGCCAAAGAGGCCAGCAGCTCTTAGTAGACCCTGTTTAAAGATCGATATCTCAAAATAGTTTTTCTCCTCCTAAACAGACAGTCTTAAATTCCTTATTTCCAAGCTAGCAATTGAATTAAGAAAGAGACGATTGTGGCGAAAGACGAGTGTAAGCGAGAGACCGGCAGGCCGGGCCCGAGCACCACTTAAGGCCCAAACCGGTACTCTTTGTGTTCCTCAAAAGTTCAAAGATGGGTATCTAGAGTGGCAGCAGTAGCATTGCAGCAGGGCGGCATAACGTAAAGTAGCAGAGTAGGTGGTTATAAGATGCCATATTAACAATCATCTACCACCAACCAATATAATATAAGGTAACATCAGCTGTTAAAACCTCACATAATGTCATTCGCTATCAAGGTTCAGCCCTTTGCTCCGTTCTTTGCTTACTGTGATGGAATTGGTACGTAGAGTAGAACTCCGGCTTCTTAACCACAGTTTCTGTATTATTATAGTAGGCAATTGAGGTTTGCAAAATCCCCGCAGGCTCCATTCTCATCATCAACGCCCATTTTATACACAACGACCCCTCCACATACGAAGATCCCCGCGCCTTCAAGCCTGAAAGGTGGGAGGGAAAGCTGCAAGATGTCAAGGAAGACTCGGTCGGTGCACGCTCGGAGCTCTTCACTTTTGGAGCCGGGCGCCGGATCTGCCCGGGTCAGCATCTCGCGGAGCGGAACTTGTTCCTGACGGTGTCTAAGATCATCTGGGCATGCGATATTTCCAAGAAAACTGAGAACGGAAACGAGACTCCGATAGATACGGAGGAATACTCGCCTGGCGGTGTCATTTCGATAGCGCCATATCCTGTGGATATCAAGCCCAGGAGCAGGGCTCGTTTGGACGTGGCAAAACGCGAGTGGCAGACTGGGCGCGAGGAGCTCTTAGACGAGAACGAGCAGTGGAGGAAGGTGCCTCCCGGTGTGGAAGAGTTGATGAGAAGGGTGAAATAGACTCGAAGAATTATAGGGAAGGTGGAAAAGAGAGCAATATCACAGCTGATTCGGGTACTGTATAACATTGTAATAGATATATTATTCATCGAACACTGTTGCGAGTAGAAGGCAAACAGCAAAAAGGTTCCCCTGACCAATCAAATATTATATTCTTTCAATTCAGTCCTTTGTAAGGACATGTATCCTGCAGGTGCAATCTTGGGCAGCTATTATAGTCCATCATATTGTCCATATAGTGGAAGTATAGGTTATTGTACTGATCCCCCAGGCTTTTCACCTCATTATACTCGCAGTCTACGTGCATGCATATTTGTCTATCAATAGCGGGGAACTGGCCTTTCTCGTCCAGAGTAGCATAGAATCCACTGCTCACATAAACTTCCTTAGCACGAACTGCAACGGGGACATTTAACTGGCACTAGCAACCAAACCTAGACTGGGATTGAAAGAGCGAAAAAGTGAATGTGATCATTAGACCCATTCAAAGCAGACAGACTTGATGGCCGAGTCAAGCAGTTGATGTGATTAGGTCCTAATATCCGCCCTATCCTCAGTCTTGCGGTCTTGTGGCTTCGCAAGTCAAACGTGTAATCAGAACACATATAATCTTGCACAAATTCTCAGAAGATTCTCCCTTGTGGAAATCGGAAACCCCAAATGCTCCTGTCATGGTTCTATCTTCTTCCTTGTAATTTTTCTCTCGAGCGTTGAATATTACGCATCGTGGTACACTCCAAATCTGCGTCAAATTTACTCTGGATTGTAGTATCCCTTCCTATTCCAGAGGCATTATGTCGGAGGGGCAGGCAAAGAATGAGCAAGGGTGTTGTCTTTGATTCCGTTCACGGGAGTAGTTTCGTCGTCGGATGGCGGTTCGTTTTGATCCTCTTCGAAGACCCTTCCGATCTCTCCTTTGGCCCTCCCTCGCTTTTCCAACCATGCTATCAAGAGGATGATCGGAATGTCAGGGTCCCGGTTATAAGACTGGAAATGTATCCTTTGTTGTAATCCGGGGCATCGGTGACCGGGTAGAAAACGATCGGCCACCCTAAACGTTTGTCAGTAACATGTTCCCATCTGATGTGTATCAAGATAATAGGAAATTGTGGTCGATTGATTGTTAGAATTACTAACAGCTCACAAAGGCAAAATCAAATGAGTTCATGAACCCTGTTGTTATGGCTCTCAGCTGCACGTCTTGCGCAGTCAGGTCTGCCATCCAAGTATACCACAGCGCCTGTGGCGCGAATGTCGAGCCAAGCAGGTAGAAGGCGAAGAAGTATCCAGCATCGTTAGCAGGGTGTGCAACAAGTATCGCACTTCCGATGACGAAAGTAACGCCGATGGCCAGGGAACACTCCCAACGTGATCGAATGCGATCAGATATGACGGTATAGATGAGCGTCGCAACGATGGCCACTGCGTATTTGCCAGTGGGATAGTTGTTCTGCTGGATGACGCTGTAACCCCTAGAAGCCATCCAGAGTTGCATAACGTTGTTGGTCAGTGACTGAACACACAGGGAGTAGACTGCTAGCTGTGAGCGACAAGTCGCTGTTCGATTTGGGGGGTCTTTGGGCCACTCACGCATGAACACGGTGGGAAGCAACCAGAATTGCCAGCTCAAAAGCACGCGCCTGAACACAGTGAGATCCCATGTGGTCTTTCGAGACTCGCCGAGACGCCGAACCGCGCACTCCTTCTCCTCTTCAGTCAGGAAGCGTGCGGACTTGTGGTGTGGCAGATCAGGAATTGCGAACCAACCTAGACCGATGGTCAATGTGACTGAAGCTTTGATTCGTGATCAAATTGGAGCTGGAGGTTTAAAACTCACCAAACAACGCAAACGGGATAGTCATGACCGATACCACAATAAACATCCAACGCCATGGAGGCAATGACCCTTTGCCACCAAGCGATCCAAGCAAGGCGGCCTGGATCCAGCCTCCAGCCATGTTACCCAGGTTGCCGAAACCACAGAAGACAGCGGCTCGGGTCCCAAGCTCGGACTGTTTATACCAAGAGCCATATATGAAGTGCGCCCCAACGCTGCAGGGATGTTAGCTCCCATCAATTTCATCCCGGGGCCAAAAACACAAACAGGGCAACGTACTAGGCGATGGCGGAAAACGCTCCCTCGAAACCATTGAGCACAAAGACCTGCCATACGTGGTCCACCCGGAATGTTATGAGGGTCAAAACGCTCCACACCGTATTTGCCAGGACGAAGACATGTCTCGGTCGTATAATGGTTAAAGCCGCAGTCGAAGGCATCTGCATGACTGCGTAGCAGACCAAGTAAATGGTGGACATGTAGTTGAAGTCCTTGCCCTGAAAGCCGACATCTTCCTTCATGCCACTGATATAGGCAGTACTGTAGCTGGCGCGGTTGATGCCGAACAGGAACCAGATGAGCGAGAAATAAATGAGCACGGTACTGTCCAGCTTGATGAGCAGGGATCGCTCGACCCCGGGAGGGCCCCAGATGGCCGTCTTGAGCCCGGACAGTGCCATGGTGCAACGTGAGGACTGGCGTTTACTGAGGCATCTATCGAAATTCCACGGCGACGTCGAGCAGACAAAGGACGCAAGGCGCAGAGGCAGAGGCGTCACGAAATGCCGAGGCGTAATGACAGAAGAGTCAACTTTGGTGGCCGACCCGGTTGGGTCCCAGGTGTCCCGCTTATCGCGCCATCGCCGGGTTGCAATCGCGCACTGCAGCTCCATGCCACATTCTGCTGCTTAGACCCCGAGATTACCAGCTCGCGGGGCGGAAATGAGCCTAGCTTCGTCTAGGGTCGGATTCAGTCATCCAAACAGAGCTGGCCATGCAAGACAAGCACGGAATACCCTTCCGGACTCCTTGCGAGATTGCCAGCCTAGCTTGCAAAGGAAACATCTTCCAAGGTCTTGCAAGAGCTGGAACGAAATGTGCAAGGTAAAATTGAAACAACGTTGTTCTCCCGAAGTCAATCGCATATTGATCCTACACTCTGAACCCTATTATCTGAAGGGAAATAATACCTTTGTCTAGACACCTTTTGCGAGTCTTATCAAACCAACAAGTCTTCGTTCTTCAACAGCAAGTGCTTCAGGCAGGCCACCCACAAAGCGGTATAGAAGTGTAGCCGTACTGCTGAGATATGTCCAATCCACTTGGCTCCAAGCACCAGTGCCGTCTTGATTGAATTGTGTTGACGGGTTGGTACTATTCACCCGGGGCGCATACCAAGCTTGAGCTACATCTCGTTGTCTGGCCATGTGAAGTGTATTGGAGGGATGCCTGAGATAATTGTATATAAGCTACTATCTATTCAGCTGCCTCCTCCTCTTCTCTATCTCGCACCAACAGACCTGCCATTCCAGTCAAGATTCAGTCTCGGGGTGTTGTAGATCCACATCTGGACTTTTCAGTCTCTTTAAGCCTTTCTCGTATGATGGCTCGATCGATAGGTGAGTGAAGTGCCTCGAAGTCTAAAGCTGACATCCAGGACAAGCAGGCTGGCCTATTTGTCCTTTGGAAATCTCATACCACCAGGTTACAGGCTCCAAGAGTGGCGAGGGAGTTTCAAGCGCGTTATCCGGCAGCTAGGCCACTAAAGGAATAAGGCACCCAGAACCAGTTGCATTAACGGCTACAAAGTACCTGGTTATTTTCACACTGCTGCTCCTGGGTGTGTATGAGGCGTTGTGGTGTAGGTAAGGATGGGTGTGTTGGTGTGGTCTGCTGCGTAGATGATGATCCCGTGAGTGCAGGGGCAAGGCGTCGCCGCCCCCGTCACATTTGTCTGCGCAGGCAGTTGGTAGGTCAAAGTCCGCATGATTTCCTCCGAACTCATGCCTGCTTTATGCTCGACTACATGCTCATTGAGCTCTGGACAGGTTGTTGGAATATTCTAGATATCTAGGCTATTATTAATACGGGATATCCTTTTCCCCATACGTTTGCCACTGTATGAAGGATAATAACTATAAATAGGGGCCTTCCCTCTTATAAAATAAACGTTAGCTAGCTTAATAGATTAAGCATTTAACGTTATTATTTTAAAGGTTATAAGCTCTGGAGCTAACTTAAAATGGCAATGCTAACCCGATATGGAAAACGCATATTATGTAACACCCTTAATTGCTATTACTTTTTAAACCTTTTAAATAAGATAAGCTTTATACTTAAAAATATACCTTTTAATTAATTACCTAATTAGGCTAATTAATAAGCCCTTAATTAATTAAATTACTTTATTTAATATTATAAATTAACCCTTATCTTTTAACTTAAAGCTTATATATAAAAACCATACCTTTTTTATTTAAATACTTAACTATTTTTTTATTAATACTTAACCTATTTATATAATTTATATATTATTTAAAAGCCCTTATTAAAAATAATAAGAGCATTTCTTTAAATTTTAAAAACTATATTAAATTAATATTAAAAACGTAAATTTTAATAAATTTATAATAATTCTTAAACTCTCTTAAAAATACTTAACTATATCTTAGCTATTTTTAATTTATAATACCTTAAAAATATATTATTTAAAAGCTTTTCTTTTTCTCTTTATAATTATATTACTTTAATATTTATATCTTTATTTCTTAACTTATTAAACTTATTTAAAATTTATTATATTTTTCTTTTTATTATTTTAATTATCTTAATAAATATAATATTTTACTTTTTAATAAAATGGAAAATTATATATATTAAAGCGTTAAAATTTAAGCTTAGCTTAAAAAAAAATATTATTAAGAATAATTTTAAGAATCTTTTTTAAGGCTTATTTTTAACTTAAAATAAAAAAGCCCTTATTAATATTAAACTTATATATAGGTAGGAACTTATTATATTTATAAAAAACATAAATAATGCTTAAAAAGCATAAAATATACTTAAATCTTATTATAAACTTTTTAAATTTATAAGCTAATATTTACTTTATAAAGAGTTTTTTAATATTAATTTTAATAATTTTAAAACTATAAAAGAATATATTAATAAGCTAAAGCTTTTTTTAAAGAATTTAAAGGTTAATAATATAATTCTTTTTAAATAAATTATAATTAGCTAAATTCTTTATAACTTAAATAATAAATATATTAGCTTTATTTAAAATATAACTTAAAGTTTTAGAAAAGATTTAAATATTTATATAGTTAAATTTCTTTTCTTTAGTTTATTAAATAAAAGTAAAGGCAAATCTTTTAAATTATTTATAAAAGCTTTATATATAAAGGGTAAGAAAGATAAGAAAAAGATTATTATATGCCTTAATTATAAAATAAAGGGCTATACTTAAGAGAATTGCTATTTCCTTTATTTAAATAAGGTACTTGCTAATTAAAAAATAAATAAATAAAGAAAAGAAAAGGAAAAAATTACTTTTTTAAGAAAGAATATAAGCTAAAAAAAATGAGAGAAAATATAAGAGCAACTCCTAGCTTTATTAGCTAACATAGAGTTTCCCATGGCTTTAAAAGGTGCTTAGGAAGAACTTATAACCTATATAGCTATAAATAATTTAATAGAAAATATTAAATATAATGAGAATTTATTAAATTTCTTATAATTTTCTTTTAATAACTTAATGGAAATTAAGGTAAATAACCCCTTATATACTTTATATATATATATAATAATTATAGCAGTTAATAATAAATTTATAGGAAATTAATAATATATAAATTCTATAAAAATAGCTATAAATATTACTATAAATATAATAAGTTTTTAAGATATTTATCTCTTTAATATTATATATATAATTAATAAAACTGTGAAATAAGGTAATGCGGATATTATATTTATAAATAAAATAAGGAACTTAATAATTAAGTTTTTAAAAATAAATATTATAAAGAAATTTTTTAATATATATTATATGCCTTCTTTAGGTTTAAATATACTTAATTATAAGTATATAAATAATAAAATTAAACTAAAATTAAAAGGAAATATTATTAAATTATACTTTTAAAAAATAAATAAGCTAATAACTTAAGGATATTAAAAAAACGGCTTATACTTTATAAGAATTAATATAATAAAATAAATAAATAAGCCTAAATATACTTCTTAAAAATATATATAACTTAATAAAATTTAAATATAAATAATAAAAATAAAGAAAAAATATATAAATAACATTATAAACTAAGCCATATAAATATTTAATAATAATAATATTCTATTCACGTAAAGCTACAATATATATATATATATATATAGAGCTTGCTAATTTGGTATGCGGTCCCTTTGCAAATTCACCTATATTGGAAAAACCATGCTTTAGAGCTGAATAAAAACCAATATGCCTCTTAATTCCTTTAATTAGGAGCTCCTCTTTTTAACCTTTTTTAAGATTTATAAAGCCCTTTTTTACTTCTTTCTTTTAATAATCTTTTTTTTTAATCTTAATCTTAATAAAGGCCGCTTTTTATAAGCAGATTTTTTATAATTACTTAATAAAAGGTTATTATTTCCTTATTAAGGGCCGCAGCTACTTTAATGCAAGGTTATAAAGCTAATTTTATTAATATAAGGCTTTTAATAAAGCTAATTAAGGCTTATAATAAGGCTTATTTATTAATTAATTTAAAGGCCCTTTATAAGGGGGCTATATTATAAGGTGCATTTTAAAGTACCGCTAGCTTAAAATTTAAAGGGCCTAAGGCTTTCTTTAAATACCTATTTTTATTAGCTTTAATAAGGTTTTTAAGGCCTTAAATATAGGCCTTTTTTTTAGCTAAGGGGGTTATAAGTAGGTAAGCCGCAATTTATCATAATGTAGTTAAGGGGAAACTTCCTAAAAAAGGTTTCGGTAGCCACGGCAGGGTTTAAACCTACGCTCTTCATGGAGAGAAGCTAAATGCATAACCAATGCGCCACGCGGCCATATAAATATTTAAGCTTTGGAAATATTTCTTTAAAAATATAAAATAAATATATTAATAAATACACCTATTTAAAAATATATAAATAACTATAAAGTATGCTTAAAAGCTAAGCATATAATTAGAATAAATAAGATTAGCTTAAATAACTAAGTATATAATATACTTAAAAGAATATATAATAATATAAGCGGTTCCTTAAAACCTATATATAATAAATATAAATATTATATATTATTCCTTAATAAAAGAACTTAATATTTAAAAGTTTCTTTGCTTAAAAATAAAGATAATGCATTAGAAGCTTTTAATAATTATAAAAATAAGGCAGAAAATAAATATAATAAAAGAATAAAAGAATTCTTTATTAATAATAAAGGCGAATATATAAATAAAAGATTTAAAATCTTATTAAATAAATACTTTATAAATTACTATACAACGCCTTTGTATATAAAAAAACCAAATGGCTTAATAAAAAGACTAAATTTAATTATAATAAATAAAGTAAAAAGCTTTTTATATATAGTAAATTTACCTATATATTAAAAACAAGCTACCTAAATAAATAAGGATAGGTTTTGCTAAACTCTCTTAAGGATAACTTAAGAAGGAGCTTTAATATAATAAAGAAGGAAGATAGGAATAAAAGGGAATTAAAAAAGGGAAAAGGTAAGTATTTTAAAAAATTCTTAAAAATAAGAAAAGCTTAATTAAAGCATTAAATATATAAGAAAAAAGAAAAGTTAATTTCTTTAAAAATATTTAAAATAAGCATAAAAGCTAGCTTTTTATAGCTAATTAAAATTTAATATAATACTATTTCTTATATATTTCCTTATATTTATTAATATACTCCTTTTTAAGCACTTTATAATAAGTATTATAAAGATTATTAAAATAAAATCTTATTACCTTTAATTAAGCCTTTAAGTTTTAAAATTTATTTTATTATAATTTTAATTATTATTGCTATTTTTAATTTCTTATTTATTTATCTTATTATAGCTTTTGCTTTTTTATAAATGCTTTAAATATTTTTAAGATTTACTTAATAATATATTTATTAATTATATTTTTTTAGCCATTAAAGTTTAATTTAATAGCTAGCATTAATATAATTATTAAAGATTTAAATATCTTTATAAAATAAAAAGTAAATTTATTTTTCTTTTTAATTATTGCATTAAGTATAATATATTAACTTTATTAACTTTTATTTTTACTTTTTATAAAGCTTTTATTTTTAAATTTTATGCTTTATATTTAATTACTTAGTTAACTTATTTATAAGCTTTTTAAATTATTCTTAAATAAACTTAATTATTGCTTTAATTACTTAAAGTTAATTAATATATTTTAAGTTTTATTTATATTTATTATTAAAATAAGTAAATAGGAAAGATTCTTATATATATTAAGATAAGCATTTCTTATTAGCTTTAAAATATTTTATAATATAATATTTAAGCTAAAAGCTTATTTAATTAAAGTTTTGCTTAATTAATTTTAAGCTATATAAAAGTTTATACTTTATTATATATTAAATATTTAAAATTAAGTTATTAAATTAATTTATATTAAAAGTATTATTTTCCTTATGCCTTTTTTATAATTAGCAATAATTTTAATATATTATAATTTAAATAACTATTATTAAATAATTTCCCTTTATAATAAAAGCTTATTTCTTGCTTTAATTACTTTTATATTATTAATCTTAATAAAGAAAATTAATATAAGTATTTAAATAGCTTTATTAATTTTATTAAGCTTTAATTAAATAATAAATATTTAAGTAATAATATTAATAATAACTTTAAGCATTATAAGATATATAATTTTAATTAAAAAAGCCTTAGCTTAATTTTATACTTTTTAATTATTCTTTTCTTAGTTTTTTCTAAAGTAATTTTTAATAACTTTTATAATATACTATTTATAAAATATTTTATTAATTTATTTTAATTTTAATATAAACTCTTTATTAAAATCTTATATTTTATTTTTTAAGATAATTATTAAATATTTATAAATAAGCGCTTTAATATTCTTATTTATCTTATTATTCTTATTTCTTAATATAAAATTATTTTTTAATAAATAGTAATTCTTTATTTTATTAAAAATTGCTATTATTTAATACTTAAATATATAAATAAGTATAATATAATAAATTTATAATTCTTTATTAATTTATATTATTAATATTTTATAAATAAAGTATAATTATAATATAAAGGTTTTTTAAGTAAAATATAATATTTTAAAAATTAAAAAGCTATTAAGTTATAAAGGCTATAATATGCTAAGTTTTTAATTTTTTATATTTATAAAGCATCCCTTTTATATTAAAAAAATTAAAAGCAAGAAAGGCTTAATATTATTTTATTAAGTTTATTAATTTAGCTAATATTTTTAGCTTAAAATAAAAGTTAATATTTAAAAAGTATTTTTATATTATTTTTATAAGCTTATTATTAAATATTATTTATTTTATATTAAAAAATAATAAATAATTAAAAGTTTAAGTTTATTAAATATTATTTAAGTAAACTTTATTTATAATAATAATTATTTTAAAAGGATTTTTAAAAAAGTTAGCACTTACTTTTTAAGTAAAGTTTTATTAATTTTATATATTTATAATATTTAAAAATTATAATGCTTTGCTAAGTAAGTTTTTAAAGTTATTAAAATAAGAAAGTTTTATAATTATTAAAATAAATTTTTTTTTTAAAATAATAAATTTAATTATTAAAATTAAAACATTAAGATTTTAAGGTATCTTATAATATAAAGATAATTAAGATTACTTTTTTGCTTTATCTTTTTAATTAAAAAATATTTTAGCTTTTAATTATAAAAAAAGAAGGTAAAAAAAATAAGTAATAAAATAAAGAATAAGTAATAAAAGTTAAGTAATAAAAAAGGGAAATATAATAATAAAAAAAGCTTTATATTTTTAGGAATTATTATATAAGTAATTAAAATAAAGAAGGTTAAAAATAAGGAAAAAATATAATTAATATTTAGCTTATAACTTAAGGTAGCTTTTATAAATAATTATTGCTTATTTTTAAATAAGAATAAGTAAAGAAAAAAATTAATATATTAAAAGTATATTTTTATTAAAATAGCTAAGTAATAGCTAATTTTTAATATTTAATTAATAATTATATAAAAATAAAAAGAAAAAGAAAAAAAAAAAAGGTAAAAAGAAAGCTTAGTTATAAATAAATAAGTATAATAATATATATAAGCTTAAAGTAATAAAAGCTAATAACTTATTGCCTTTAAATTAAATAATTATATTAATTAAAAGAAAGGAATAATAAAAAGGCTTATAAATTATTATTAAAAGCTATTAGTTTATTATTTTATTAATAATTAAAATAAAAAGGGTATATAATTTTTTATTTTTCTTAAATAATAATTAATTATAAAGTACTTTCTTTTTAATTTATAAATTTATTAAATATAAATTAAAATAAGTTATTTAATTAAAATTCCTTTATAATAAAAAAATAAATAACTTCTTTATAAATAAGGAATTAAAAGTAAGTAATTCTTTTTAAATAATAAATTAATCTTAATTAAAAGTAAGGTAATAAATTATTTCTTTTAATAATAAAATAGCTTATTATTAATATTACTTATTTCTTTTTATTATAATAACTTTATATATATAAATTTCCTTTTTTTCCTTAAATTCCTTTTTCTTCCTTTTTTTTCTTAATATTTTCTTAATTTTAATTAGCCTTTAAGTTAAGCTAAAATTAAAGTAAAATATTATAATCCTTTTATTCTTAAATATTTTTTTATAATAATATCTTTATTATTAAATCTTTCTTAATTAAAATTAAAAAGTTTAATATAAAAAGATTCCTTTCCCCCTTTTTAAGCTATTTATTATAATTTATAAGCTAAGTAAGTTTTAATTAAGAATATTTATACTTCTTTTAAGTTAAAAAGCATTTTTAATAAAAGTTAATTTATTAAAATTATTCTTTATAATGCTTTTATAAAAAACATTTATATATATAAAATTATTAATATTAAATAAAATTAATATTTTACTTAGCAACTTATTAATTTTACTTCTTAAAAGGTAATTAAGAAATTATTTAATAAATTTCTTAATAAGCTATAAAAAGAGTAATTTTTAAATAATATTAAGAATTTAATTAAAAGCTATAAAAATATTATTATTATTAAAAAAAGTAATAAAGCTCTTTATAAGAAGTATATAATAATAATATATAATTACTTTAATTATTATTATTAAGTAGCTTTATTTATAACCTTTTATAATTATTAAAATGCTTTTCCTTATAAATATTGCTTAAAGTATATAAATTATAACTTTTCCTTAATTATAAATAAAAATATCCTTATTATAATTTCCTTTTTTAATTACTATTCCTTATATAGTTTTTATAATAATGCTTATATTAATTATATTTATTATATTAAGAAATTTAATTATATTTTTAATAAATATAATAATATAAAAAAGGTATAAAAAATAATAATAGCTAAATAAATAAAGTTTAAAAATATATTTAGCTTTATAATTATTATTAATAAAATGGTATAACTTAAAGAAATAATTAGCTTTAATATTATTTAAAATAAAAAGGTTAGCATTATTTAAAATTAATAACTATAACTTTATAATGCAAAATTCTTATTATATTAATTATAAAAATAAGCTTTTAGCAAGATATAAATAATAATTAAAATAAAAAGAAAAAAGGAAAAAGTAAATTAAATTATTAAAAAGAAAAAAAAAGTTTTTAATCTTAATAAAAAAATAATAAATAAATATATAATAAATTTTATAATATATTTTTTAAAAATATAATATTTTATATTTAAACTTAAGGCTAAATTTAATTAAGTAAATAAATATATATAAAAAGATAACCCCCCTTTTTTAAATAAATACCTAAGCTAAGATTTAAAAGTATTATTAAGTTAATTATATTAAAAACATTA